TAGATTATATAAGAACAGTGAAAGTAGTTAATATTTTTAGTGAAATGTTAGAAGGCAAAGAAAACAAGACCAATTGTTGACTTTGGTCAAGATATCTTGAAAAGTAAAAACAGTTCTCAATAAAAAGAACAATAAGACCAGTGAAAGAAGTTAATATTTTTAGAGAAATGTTAGAAGGCAAAGAAAACAAGACCAATTGTTGACTTTGGTCAAGATATCTTGAAAAATAAAAACAGTTCTCTATAAAAAAAAAAAAGAACGCATTCAAAAACATAGGAATTTTTGACAAATTTTGCATATAGATATAATCAAAATTGAGAGTTTTATCCAGATATTATCTAAATTGAGGGAGTTATCCCCCACACACACATTTCATGACAGTTTGCCAATACCCTCAAGCAGAGTGTATAAAAAGGTTCTCATGCAGCATTCCAATCATTCTATATAACGTATACATATTTCTCTCTCTCTCTCTCTCTCTTTTTCCCGCTCACACCCACAAGTGTTATGCGTTGCGGCTCAGTGATCGGTTACGAAGATCGTGGGCTCAAGTTCTCTCGAGTTCTCTGTAAAGCAAAGTTCACGCTAACCGGCCATAATAATTTGTTGTTACTCGCCTTTTCGTATTTTGTATTTTTCGTATTTGTATTTCTTTTCTTTGCGTTTAATCGATCAACGCATATGCATGGCATATACATAAATATGTGTTCATATAAACTGATATACACACACTCATGTGTGTGTGTGTGTGTGTGTGTGTGTGTAATGGAGAGAGATATGAGAGTCGCAGGTTCGTTGACCGTAAACCGGACGAGAGCCGAATCTTGAAAGCTTCGGCTACATTTGTCATTAGCGGTAAAGAAGAGACATTTGTATCACAAAAACAAGAAAGAAGAAGCAGAGAAGAACCCACCAGGTTCAGCTGCGACTCTTGCGGTCGTACAATTTTTCGTTCAGTTTTTCGTTCAATATGTGTGGGTGTCGACTGTGTGTGTGTGTGCTATGTTGTTATTGTTCTTGTTATGCACCCGACTGTTACTATCTGTACCCCCCCCCCTCTCTCTCTCTCTCGCACTCTCTCTCTCTATCCCGTCCTCTATCTGGCTTGCGGTTCGAGCTGTTAACAACAATTTGTGGTGGGGCTGCTCAATCACCTCAAAGACGCCCATCAATAACAACTGCCCTACCGGGTTTTTTCTGCTATAATAACTCTGTCAAAACTATAAATAACTCTCTCTAATGGCAAGTCGCTTAGTACACCCTATAACTATGACCGGGCCAAAATAGTATCGACTATTGAATACACTTATAGATTTGCGATATAATTGTTTAGGAACAGGTCGCAGCTGAACCATTCAATATCTCAACTATAAAGAAAAAGAGTGCTTTATCTTCTCCTATATAAGGGATATATATTCCTGATCAAGATATCTCTGTAAAATATTCTATACATTTTGCCCCATGGCTTTAAATACTTGGGCACCGATCATTGGATTTATCTAACCATATTTTTTTGATGCCCATTTTAAATGGAAATCTAATGTAGACCGCAAGGTATACAGCCTGGAATATTTTCAATATAACGGGGTCGTTTAAAATTACATTTAAAACTTAACCAAACCCTAGCAGGGAGCTGGTTCGAATCGTAAGCCAAACAAATTCAATTACAATATTATTAGAGTTAAATTTTCAAATAATGTGCAGAGATATTTTACTGAGGTGTGCGGGGAGTAGAGAGCGAGCTACCTAAAGACACATTGTGTATGTGCCCCAACTTCAACTACTTGTGCACACGCACAATGCCGCCCATTGTTTAATTATTTACATAGATAGACAAACACAAATACAAACAGAAAAACGAATACGAATGCGAATACAATAAATAAGAAAAGGCATTTTTTTTTGTTTTTAATTTTTATTTTTTACATTGCGCAAAGTTTGTACAGTTGTTGTTCTGTTTGTCGAAGGCAAAACGAGTGCACAAAATGTGTTGACACAATTCCGAATACCCTTTTGCCAAGAAGCAAAAAAAAACAACGCAGTGTAACTGTAGACAGCGCAGCAGCTGTGTGTGCGTGTGTGTGTGTGTGTGTGTGTGTGTGTTGGACATTCCAGCGGCGCAACAGTTTGTGCCATATGCAAATTTCTTTACATTATCTGTCCAACTGTCTGTCCGTCTGTCTGTCTCTCTGTCTGTTTGTCTCTCTGTCTGTTTGTCTGCCTGACAACTCATGACAATCGTTTGCAAAGTCGTGCCGTTTTTTTCCTTCTCCTCCTCCTCCTTTTTCTTCTTCTTCTTCTCTTTTATTTTTGTTTTTGTCACTTTTTATTTGTTGCTTTATCTGTGTGCGCTTGAAATTCCTTTTAGCCAAAGCAAATGGCTTTGTAAGTAAACGCGTAATTACTAAAAAATGCGACAAGTTGTTGCTGCTATTATTATTATTATTACGGTTTTGTTGCTGCTGCTGTTGTTATACCCTATAGCCACAATAAACGTAGAGGAAGTTGGCTAACCTGATATATCAAAAGCACTTGGAATGGGTTTTCCAATGTCGATCGATAAGGCACAAACATCGCATCGATCAAAATAAATTGGAACAGTTGCCAAAATAAGTTGAGTTTCTACTTGTTGCAGGGTATTCACTAGTCACGCTAGTTGTTTTGAATGGAGTAAGCTATACAGAAGGTGCTACCAAATTTGTTAGACGTTTCAGAGTCCATTGTGAGAACGACAGTTTTATCTCTGGGGCATAAACTCCGACATTGTATACAACTTAATAAGCAAACGATATACATATATATATATATACATATATAAATATATATATGTATGCATATAGACATGTTGCTAATTTGCAGGTTGAATGACATCTGAATTCGGTTGAGTTATCTGTGAATGGGCAGCTACAAACAAATTTTTGCATAACAATGCAAAGGTTGATAAATAGAAAACCGTTGTGTGTCATCGTTATCGTTATCGTTGTCGCACAATCAAACAAACCAACAAACACACACATACACAAAGAAACATACACACACACACACAATCATCTATGCACAATTTGTATTTATTGCAGATTAAAAGCTGCTTTTTTTTCTGCTGTCGTTCCCGTTATCGCGAATTTGTACTCCCTCCTCTGTCCCTGTCTCTGTCGCTATTGCTCTCTGCCAATCGCATTGATGACTCACATTGCATGCAAATTGAAAATATTGACGAGTTGGAAATTGAGCATCTAGCTGTTAAATGAAAAGAGTGACCAGGCACCACTTGCAAATGAGCTCTTTTTTATATATACAATAGTTGTCTATGAATGAATGTATCTGTGATTCAAACTAAACTACAACTCACGTGTGATTTCTTAAACGGATGTTTACCTAATTTTATCGCCCAACGCGAATCGTAACGTAAAATTCAAAGAAGTTGACCACTGCATGATTCATGCGATGAGTGTGCAGCCGAAAAGGCGATAACTGCACGTAACGAGCGAGATGGAAATATGCAGTTAGCCAGTCAGTAGTGTGGGGAATTTAACAAGAGTTCCAGTTCCAGCTCTGCTGCCAGTTCCAATCGTCAGCTGTGGCCACAAACATACATATAGAAATTGTAGATAGGGCCTGCCTGTCCCTTAATCGGCTTAAAAATGCTTTCAATAAAATATCAAAAAGCCAAATGGGCTTGGACCATGCCGAACTCTTAATACCCTGATATAAAAATACAAACATCAGCTGTACACATTATTTTATAAGAGTCTTCTAATATAGTATAAGAGAGTCAACTATTCTGATTCTGTGTCAATTTTCATACATCTGCTTTGCATTGCCAACTATTTGACAAAGTTCACAATAGCCAATTGCAAGTGTATTAAGATAACATTAACAAGGCACCAGCCAAAGAACACAGCAACAAAAATAACAGAAAACTGGTCAAACTCGCGCCCAGCAACGAAAAGAAGAAGAAGAAAAACAACAACAAGCAGAACAGAGTGCGGCCAACGCCTGCGCAACGCAACGAGGCGCTCTACAGGTTTTTCAGGTCGTTTGGCGACGGCAGCGACGACTTCTGCGCGGCCGGGTGAAAGCCAGACCCGGGAGAATGCCAGAGTGCAAGGAGCATGACGGCGCCAAAAACAAAAACCCAAAGAAATGACATAGAATGCCTGTACGTAAACAAATGCGACAATTGTGGAATGTGTTCCTAGTCGAAGGAATGTGGAACTTAGAAAATAGTGTTGGGAAATGCACAATTCAGTGCAATTAAATGCAGGAAATATCCCTAAAATAAAACACTCACCTGATTCTCGTGGGGCACCCAGACGAGACGTTTCTGTGTCCATTCGGCCTGTGTGGCCGGATCATTGAATTGATTGCGCTCCACCGAGAGATATTTCAGCTCGGGGTCGTTGCGATCGACTTCTTCTGACATATTTCTTTTATTGTTATTCTTTCTGCGTATCTATATTCGTTATTTATCGTTTCGTGTTGGTTATTGAGGTTTCTATGTGGTTTGCTTTTTTATGCAGTTGCAGATTTTTAAATATTTTTCTGTTGGTTTTGAAAAATGAATTAAATGCACATTAAATTTTTAATTCTTTTATGGCCCATATCACGCACAACAAACACACACACACACACCTAGAGTGCAAATTGCCATCGCATTGTAAACAAACACATATACACACACACACACTCACAAAGCGAATTTCGAACATCAAGATACATTTTTGCGGCACATTTTTATCTGCAAGAAGCGTTCGCCGTTTTTTTATCTAAGAAATGCGGCAGCAAAAGGCAGACGGCGAGAACGGCAACAGCAGCAGCAGAAAATAGTTTCAAAAGGGAACCGACAAGAAACAAATATGGCCATACATTTTCTTAAGCCAGCGGTAGCTCGCTCTCCCTCTCTCTCACACTGTCTCTCTATCTGTGCACTCGAATGTTACTCTCTCGCCGCCGCAGCAGACATATTCAAACATCGTAGATGAGCAGCGACAGCGTTCAGCGGAAAATAGCATTACGTAGCTGTTTGGCAATTAAAGTAACCAGTTTGCATTTTAAGCCGCAACATTTGCCTTGATTTTCGGTTATGGTTACTCTAATTGCGGAGCAGGTACGTCAGCAAAATGCGGCTGCCGCTGCTGCTGCTGCTGCCGCGGCCATCGTTCCTTCTTTTTTGTGTTGCTTGTTCTGCACACACACGCACACATACATACACACACACACACGCCTAAATACTCATGCACACACGGGGAGCGCAGTTTTCGTTTCGTTTTTGATTTTCATTTTCGTATGAATTTGTTAATATTTTTCATATATTTATGCTCCCGTTTCACTGTGTCAGCACTGCATTTTTACAAATTCAACGCATTTCGCACTCAATGCACACATTTCATTTCATTTGTTTCAACAAGCGACTGCGGCGTCAACGGCGTCGGCTGGCCGGCGGCTTTTGGGCGTTGAAATTATTTTACATGCATTATTTGTATATTTGCTCTTAGTATCGTGTTTTCTTTGTTTTTGGCCACTTTTTATTGGCTTTACGTGCACTTAGTTGTTGCTTGGTTGCAATTTGATTTTTTTATAAGTGGCAATAATGCGGTTTTTATTTGTTTCAAGCGACAGCTGCACTTCTTAACTTTTGACACCAACACACACTCTTATACAATTTCCAACGAACCCAAAACGCGTCTTTCTCGTTCGCTGCTACCAGCACGAATGTGCGATTACTGGTAACAGGGCACAGCAACCAACCTTAACATTTCGCTGCAGTGTTATTAACAGCGAGTGTACATTTATTCTTGGAAAAGCGCGCGTCACTGAAATTTTGATTTAATAACTCTTTAATATAATTCAATTTACGTTATATGATATTTTGTAGGAAAACATCATTTATTTTAATGTTTAAGTCGACGGCATGTTTGACAGCAAACGGCGAAATCATTTGAATTTAACAGCTGTTAACTGGCCCAGACAATTAATTACATAGAAAGTACAGATTTGAAATTTCATATTATCGATTAATAATGTATTGCACGTGGTTTCAAATGCTTATTTCAACTGCTTAGTGTTCTAACAATTATGCATTGAAAGCCCCAAATATTTTATTCTCTTTTAATTTAGGAATTGCTTATAAAATTGTTAAAATTCGATAGTATCGATTCTTTGTACTGAGAAATCGATTGTAGAAATGTTGAGAGTGAATGCAACTAATTTATTGCGCAACATGCGTGTGTTGAGACACATGTTGCTAAGCAAACCGACAGTTAAACTCATTCGGTAATGTTACACTCAAATAGGTTTTTTTTAAAAACTGATAAAAAACTAAGCAACTACAAGTTACAGAAACTGGAGTAATATGTGTGTAATAGTATATACCAATGTTAATACATAATTTCGTTTTTAGATGAGCAACAGTATGCTGTACACCGTCGTATTGGGGAATGGAATGATCGATAATATATTTTTAGGGTGACTATTATTTTTAACATTGCCGCCACATCGGCAGCTGCAAAAATTATGGCGGCGGTCGATATATATTTACGGTGTAGTGTCAAAAGTGCATATCGATTGTGTTCATCGCGCGTCTGCAACTAGCTGGTCACAACTCAGTAGTGCGACTAATTAAATTTAATCCAAAGTCAACAAGATAAATTAGTGCAACACATTCCAGCGCGCAACACATATGAGAGGAACCCTGCAAAACAAAGTAAATCAGCTAAATGTAAATGGTTAGGCACTTTAAAAGCAATACAAACACAGCCACACAACGTTTGCATGAGTGTGTGAGTGTGTCTGTGCGTGTGTATATGGCATACATATGTGAAGTTTATAAAGAAGCGTAGTTTTGCGGAGGCGCATTTTACGTGCAGAGCATACAAAAAGTTCGTAGGCGTTGGAGCTTCGTCAGCAACGGGAGCACATTAGCAGCGGCAGCAGCATAAAATCGATTCCAAGTGCATGCATTGTGTGTGTGTGTGCTTATGCGTGCGTGCGTGTGTGTGTTTGTTGCAAACGTAAGAAGCAGAGCCTCACGCGCTTTTCTCCCTTGTTGTAGCTAAATTAAAAAATATAATAAAGGAAAAAATTCCATATAAAATCGTAGCAAAAATCTCGCGTACAATCTGTGAACGTGACCAGTTGCTACAGCTGAGAGTGAAAAATACAATTGAAAGTTTTTACCTTGTGGCATGTTTTGTGAGCCGCAAGCCAAGTTAAACCAGGTATGTGTAATGTAATATCTAATTTAAGCAGTGTAAATATTATATGTTGCTGCTGTATATAGAAAAAATGCGCGCCCATTATTACTATATACGTATGCATACACATGCAGATTTGTATATACATATATATATATAAGAGAGTGTTGTGCTTGAGCGTGTGTGTGTGAGTAATTTGTACATAACCTCAATACCTCAATTGATTACGCTCCGCGATAGCGTTCGTGAAACAGGCGTCTACAGCTATATGAAATTCCCTACAAGTGTTATTCATTAATTAATAATTTATTAATTGTGCATAGCATATGCACAAAGGCTGCCTTTCCTTTGTCAACGTGAATGCGAAATATCCGCAATTCGATTGCACTTGTGTGTGTGTGTGCCTTTGAAAATTGTGAACGTAGACATTTTGCCTATATAAATATTTGATAAAAATAAGTATTTAAAAAATGCCACACAATAAATATTGCTGTAAAATGGAAGGTATTGAAAAGAGCAACAACAATGACGCATATCATTTATACAAACACACGGTTGCAATCGCACACCGATAAATGAGAACGCATACGTGTGTGTGCGCGTGTGTGTGTTGTTTGAGTGAGCGGAGAGCGGCTCTCTCGCTCCCGCTCTCTCACCTTAACATTTAATACAACAACAACAAAACACAATGTTGTCAGCAGCTCAGATGCTCTCCCACCGCCGCCCTCTCGTTGCAGTTACTTAAGCCCGGCTAGAACGCAACTTATTTCAAATTGTACAAAACAAAACGTTTTTATAAAAAATACATTTTCTGTCAAATATATGCATATATTATGTTCAAAATACATTTTCTCTTTTGCCGGCAAATACAGCTCTCCGTGTTTGGTTTTGTCGCAGCTTTCGCAATTCTATTTGCATTTCTAGCATATTCCTTTCATTTCCGCAAAACTACACCCCGCCCGCCCGCATACATTTTCTTGATAAGACCTCAATTTTGTTGCTCGCTCTTCTGAACGAAGTCTGGTTTGGCTTTTGGCTTTGCTGAAGCTTTTGGCTGTTGCCTTCTCTTTTTTTCTTTTTTGCTCATTTACCAAAAAAGACGTGAAAACTTGAAAAACGAGTTATAGTTACATACGATCGCACTTCGTTTTAATACCCTTACGTTAGGCTGTGCTTCCTTTTGAACGAACTATGTAACGCTTTGAATTATTTACCAGAAATTATTTGCCAGAAAAAACTATAGCAAGACAATCGCAAGCAATGTTTTCCAAAAGCGACTTAATTACCTTTGTAAGATTAGGAAACTTGTGAACATGTATTACATTTGTAGATTATAACTATTTTGTTCAAATTTTCAAAATATTTTGGGAAGTTTTCCAAACATTTAAAATATCAATTAAGTTCATTTTAACTTTATATTCCTAATAGGAATAACCTGCTTATGCCTTAGGCACTTTAAACTTTTTGTTCGGGTCTTAGATCTTTTAAAGTGTATTTAAAATTCGGCATTTAGCTTTGCTCAACAATCTTAGTATTTATTTTGTGTCACCTTCTATGTAAATAGCGACTAGCTCAAGCGATTTGTCTTTGGGGAGCGCCTGCAAGAAATACTTTGAAATTTACAGAGTCTTTTCTTCTTCTCAGTTTGTTTGTTTGTTTGCCAAGGGCCAATGAGCAAATCTTGAACCCGACTGTGAAAATCATGTGCGAAATTCTTGGAATTTACAAACAATTTTACTATTCTTAAGTTTGTTGTATTTTAATTTGGAGTTTTCCCATCTGAAGTAAGACTTTTCTATAGATGGTCTTGATTATCTTAGATACATTCAGAGTGCCAGACTTCTTTTTAACAATTGTCTTATAGATATTTATAAAATGGAAAGGCCGCCAAATTCAGAATATTATTTAGAATATCTTATGCACAAATATTTTAGATATTTACTCACATATCTTCTACAACTATTCAACAATAATGAAATATGAAAAGTGTTTCAGTTTTTTTGACACCTTATTTTCAAAAGTATAAAGGAATGTTTTTGTGTAACATATCTTTGAAATCGACTGGAATCATAGTCGTCCGTTTATATCTTACATATGCACAATTTGACAATGTGTTGCATTATAAAAAACTTAAATTATTCAGTCTATATAGCTTTGATTTATAAGCACAACAATTTCTCTTGAATATAGAAGGTTTTAATGCTTTAGAATTGATGTTTTTTAATTTACAAACTTTAAAATTGTTAACTATGCAGCATGTATTAATAAACAAACAGTTAAGCTTTTTTTTAAATATAGTAGGCCCTTTTCATAATACAAAATTTACAGAACATTTTTGTGCATAATTCAAGTTCATAAATTGATGTCGCACACATGACATTTTCCGACGATTCATAAACATCGAGGCTCTACAAAAACATTTAGTTTAAATTAGTTTTAGTCTATATTTTAACAAAAACAACAATCCCTCTTCCACATAGAGAGTTATTCAGATTTACGTTATGCTCTTTCAAAACTTATCAAACCTTGTTTGATTTTTTATAGCTGCACTTTTACAATGTTTTTTTTGTTTTTGATTTTGCACATTTTTGCTTATTTTGCACGTAATTGTAAACTATTATCTGATACCACGGAAATTCTTGTTGCATTCACATACAAATTGACAAAATTATTGTAAAATGCAACTCAGCATAAAAAAACAATTGTTGTTGTTGTCGTTCTCGAACTGTTTAGCGATTCGGTTGCTGCTGCAGCTGCTGTTATTGTTGTTTTTGATATTTACATATGTATGTGCACGTGTGTGTGTGTGTGCATGCGATACATGTTTTTATTGTTGCGCAATAGCAAATGGCAGCAAAGGGCATCTGAAATTAGTGTATACCAATTAGTTTATAAATTAAACCACCTGAGAACACAAGCACATACATACGGTAAAAGAAACCATCGACAGTACCTGGAAAAAGGCAAATAAACATGCGTGTGTGGCCCACCGTGCGGACTGCGGTTGCCAAGATAGCAGCACACACATACACACGCAGCCACGCACACACACACACACACACACACACAAGTGTGGTTGTCCCTTTTGCACTTGTTTTTCTTGTAGATGTATGCGCTAGATTGGGCTGGCGGGTGCTGCTCTTGTAGGCGTCACTCGTCCATGCAACTGCGTGCAAGGCGCCTGCTCGTGAACTTTGAACTTTGGCCGCATGTCATGTGTGTGTCTAAAAATTGTTCACTCGATTTGCATTAACTAACGCAGTTGCAGTTGCAGTTCTTGTGCAGCTGACAGGTGACAGTCTCTCGCTTATGCTCTTTACTGTTACTGTTAAGTTTCCTTTTTACGCTCTCACTCCGCCCCCGCTGCGCAGTGCAGCAGCAGCAGCAGCAGCGAGCGCATGAAAAAGAAATCGATAATTGCAAGGTTTCCATTTCCACCACCACCACCACCACAATCATCATCATGATGAGCGCACAATTCGCAAGTATACAGATTTTTATTGACGCTTCGCCGCCGCTACGCTGGCTGCAGTCAGCCCCATTCAAAGTTGAGTTGCTCTTTTCTCGCGGCCGATCAAATTCCAACATGTGTTTGACCATTGCGAAGAGCGGAAAGACCAATGCTCTCTGCTGGCCAATGTATGTATGCATGTATGTGCATACATATATGTATGTATATCTACGCCATTGCCATGGTGAGATGGCGTTGGCATCGCCGCAACTTGCATCCACTTTTTTTACCTTGTGCTCGAACTGTCTGGTTGCTTTCTATGGCCGTTGTGTGGTGTCTCTGTATTTGTGCTTCTTCTCGTTTCCGTTTTGACAGCAGCAAAAACTACCATTTCACCACCACTTGCAAAGAATATACACATATGTACATAACTGCATGTTTATCTGTATTTGTGTGCATGCGTGAGTCAAGTGTAAGGTGAGGTGAGGCAAGGTGTATGCCGCGTCGCTGTCGCCGCCACCGCCGAAACAAAGTGTAACCGTGGCACTGTTGTAGCCAGCTACTCGTCTGTTTGGTTTCTGATTTTCAGTTTCGTCGATTTCATTATGTACTGCAATATCGCTGTTGCTTGGACTCGTGAGTGTTGCCTGTATCTTTGTCATTGCCTGAGTGTGGGTGTTGTCATCTCTCACCTAGTACGCTCTTTTTCTTTCTCTCTCCGGCTGTACAGGGTGTTTGAGCTTGAGCGAACTCGCTATTGCCATCACTTTGCTATGCGCGTCATGACCGTCACCCGAAACACCCTGTCTGTTGCCGCTCATTGGACAGTCATGCTGACTCTTTCACACCATACTGTTGTGCCTTTTGCACTTACGTAAGCTTTACGTAGTCAAGTTTATGAGCCATTTTTGCACTTTGCTTGATTTTTCGTCCAGCATTTTTTTAGATTACACATCGAAAATGACCAATTTCGATTAAACTCGTGATCTTTGCTCACTGTCTTAATTTTTGTGGAATTATGGTTAGCTGCTTCCGCTCTACTCCAATGTCAAAATGTTCTGGCCGTTGCGCTTAGTGTGAACACAGTGAGCGGCTTGTTGGCTCTCCAAATATACAGCATGGTTTATTCCGCACACATCCAGCTACTCGGCCGTTTCCACGAAATGTTTTCTGCCACACAGATTGCAATTTGAACGCACAGCAACAAGACTCGCTACATACCATGAAATACATGTGTGTTGAGTGTAGTTTGTATATGCCACATATTATGTATATAATATATATAAAAGCATGTATTTACTTTTATACTCAAAGCAGAATTTTCCCCATTTTTTTGTGCTCGTAGAGGCTTGATGTTGTGCTGCTGCGTTGCCTCCCTGTTTGATATGCTGCTCGTCGTCCGTTGCCATTGTAGCAATAGCAACAACAGTTACGAAAATGAAAATGAAGAATTCCAAAGCAACACTGCGCGCGCGCATTTACTCTCCCTCTCATCCACCCGTTTCTTTATCTGGCGCTCTCCCTCTCTGGCTGCTGCTAGTTCGCTCTCTCCGCATTTCGCGCTCTTTTGTTTCTTTGCTCACACAGGCCGTCGTTTAATCGAAAATGTTTGCGGCGGCGTTAAGACGTACGAAAACGTTTCCTCGCCAAATTTTTGTGAATATCTGTAGAAATTCACTAGGAGGAAAATTGTTGAAAAGTGAATTTAAATTCAATATTGTAAAAGTATTAAAAACACATCAATTTACCGCGTAGCGTTATTAAAAAGCTGAAACGTACAAAATATTTTTGTGAAAAACGGCTGCAATACATACATACAATACAATGCTCATGTACTGAAGAAGAAAAAGGTGAAAAGTTGTACAGTGTGAAATAAAATCTAGTGCAAAATACTGCGTAAAACGTGAAAGTTTTGAATAACAAGCCAACAGTTTATAGTAAATACACTTATGTATGTATTTGTGCATACATACACTTCTCGAATACATACATATGTACACCGTTTCTGATGTAAGTTCCCTTCCGCGGGGTGAGGAATATTTAAGAAAACCGACCGAACTATTGCCCAAATGTATAAAATCAGTTTAGTTATATGATAATTTATACCATCTGCGTACTTGTTCACAGCTAAAACTTGTGAAAAATACAACATTTTTAGGTTAGGTCAATTTCAATTGGTTTATATACGACGACGGCACACAAACACACACATACAAGCGACATGCACAAAAGACATGCATACATATACATATAAAGCGCACAGACAAAAAGTCGACGGGCTGCTCGCACTCAACACACACACACACACACACACACTCGAACAGCCACAAACACGCGTATACACATACACACACACATACGTTTTTAACATTGCTTTTGGCTTGCTTGTGAACTGACTGTATTTTTTCAACGTAGTGTCGTTTTATTTTCGTTCGTTCATTCGTTCGTTCGTCCGTCTGTTCTCAGTTCGTGCGCTTATCTCGACTTTTGCTTTGATGCGCCATTCGCATGAACGTCTGTATATATATTTTGTGCATATATATAAATATATATACATAACATATACGCGCATTTTTTTAATGTGTGTGCGTGCATATATATAAATGGGCTCCCAACACAGAATAGCTCACTGGCAGCTGGCTTGGCCTGCGGCTCCAAGAGCAATCACCAACGTCTCTCTGACTCTCTCTATCTCTTTTTATACAACTGCATGAGTGTGTTTCAATGAGAGCATCTTCGCTCACAACTGTTCGACTACTTGGGCTATGAGCTTGAATCTACCAGTCTACCTTCTGGTTTATTGTTCTTGTTTTGTATTCTATTCTGTTTTACTCAAAACCTATAGTATGTATGCATACATTCATATATATACATATATACGTAGGTACTTAATTCTCTACACATCCATATGTTTTATGTATTTGCAAAATTTATTAATAGCACACAGTGTTACCCAGCGTGAGTGCAAAAGCGGCAAAAAAAAAAACTATTAATACACTAATAAAGAAAAAATACAGTGCTAAATAATAAGAAGTTCCCGTCGAAGCTAAATGTTTTTGCATATTTGCCTACATTTGCGTTATTCCCTGCTGTGTATACATAACAAAACAGATAAGATAATAGACGTGTGCACGTAATACAGCTATGATGAATAAAAAGAAAAAAAAATGGAGGGAAAATTTGCCCACATGTCTCCCCTTCACACACACACGCGCGCAAATGAACAATTACAACGAACGCCCCAATTTTGCTCGAGCAAGCTCTGCAACGGTGCTCACCGCGAGAGCGACAAATATAAACGCAGATGTGTGTGTGTGTGTTATAGCTGGTATGGCGGTCATAGTGCTCCAAAATACAGACATCAGCACGCCAGAGCAATAACAACAAAAGGCCACACGCAGTTATTTAGAGAGAGAGAGAGAGAGAGAGAGAGAGAGAGAGTGGGGAAAATGGGAGAGTCGTGTGTCGCGACAAACGTTTTCAACTTGTTTTCGCATTTGGCCATAACACTTGAAGGATTATTTGCTGCGGGAGGCGCAACACAGCACGGCACACGCTCTCTTGATAACCAAAAAGTGTGTTGTCTGGAGCCCCGGTACAGTTTTCAAATGCAAATTACTGTAATTTGATGTTTACAAATACACATAATTTAAACGTTTGCCCACTGTGAATTCAACAAATTTGCTAGGCAGTTTCACAGAGGAGGTGGCAATGGAGTCATCCTCGTCCCATGGTATTTTCGTTTCACTGCCTCCCGCTAGCATATACAAATGCTTGCATGTACATTTACACGCACACATTCACATTCGGGCTCTTCTAAATTCAAGTTATATTTACACTTTTAACGACACGAAAACGCACTCACTGGGGAACACAAGTGGCTTGGCTTGCTTCTCGTTCTTGGCTGTTGTAGTTGCCACTACAGAGCGCCCGCCAAATACTTGTTTATAGTTGTTGCTGTCGTTGAGCCATCGTTAAAAAACAAAAAAAAAACCTTTGAAAATATCCAAACTGCGCCACAAAACAAATATTCGGCCCTCTTTCTCTTGCTCTCTTGTAGTATGCGCGTGTGCGCTCGCTATCGCTCTCTTGCATGTTGCTGCAGCAGAATTGAAAGAAAGAAGGAAAGCAAGGAGAGAAATAGCCGCCTCACCACCACCACCACAACCACTCTACGTACTCATTCTTTTGTGTGACGGCTGCTGCGCGGCCTGCCTCTTGTAAATCGTGTAGATACAGGCAAACACCCTGTGCACCCCCTTCAGGAGCCCCCTCGCTCTTACGTTACATACTCGCTGTGGTTTTTTTTTTTGTTTTTTTATGCAAGTTGACGTCGTCATCGTCGTGCATGGGTCATAAAAAGCTTTCAGCATTCTCTTGGCTGCTGCCCTCCCTTGCCAGTTTTTACTGTACCCGTTAAAAACAACAAAGCGCGCGCGCCCAATTCCGGTTGCGCTTACTTACACATAGGCACACACATACACGCATACACAACTGATGGCTCTCCGATCTGACGGGCGCTCTGCTGCTGCTATTATTGTAGTTGTTGTTGTTATTGGCTGCGGACAAAGAGATAATTTTCTACTACTCATACGTGCGCATACATAGTTTAGTGAGTGTGATTGTGTGGCTATAGTGAAGAATTTATCGTCCAAAAATTTGTAATTTTATTGGTAACTGTTTAAATTAAAATTAAATATACTAAAAATACACCAAAACCAATATGAAAAAAGAGTGAGCACATTGATGTTGTTTTTCAATAGGAATAATAAAATGCCCACGAATAATCGATATAAGTATATCGATAAGTATCGATGCTTAGAATTTATCAGCTGATGCTAGACTTACTCGAAATCGATGTGATCGCCAGCAGATTTATTGTTATTGTTTTTTTTTTTTTTAAAAGTGTCTTGGGGTCTTAAAAGAAAGTATGTCATCATCGGTGTTTGGCTGTGTGGGGTGAGTGCTCCATATGCCAAATGTGTGTGTGTGTGTGTGTTCATTCTACTAATTTCACGCTTATTTAATTTCTTGTATTTCCTTTCTGTTTGCAGTGATTGCTGCGACAGCGACAATAGAAAGAACACAACTGCGACTGCGACGTGGCAGCGCTAGAGACAGGCGCCGAAACCGTAACTCTAATCAACTCAGAAATATCAAAATAGTTTGAGCATTTTTGCTGCTAGCCGCTAAAGCGGACTGGCGCGTCTATATCCAAATGCATAGACAACAAAATCACCAAACAGAACAACATATGTTGGATACACGAGCAGAGCAAGTGCTGCAGTCCAGTTACCAGTTACGACCACGACCGTTTGTTGCCTACTACATACGCTCGTAGAGAGCGATATCCAACTCTCCCCAACCGGCGGCGGCGGCGGATTCCAGGCCCCAATAACAACAATTCGTAATAATTTAGATTAGAGCAACAAAGCAAAGCCAGAAGAGACAGCAGGAGGAGATCCAACACAGTACTTCAATTCCTTTTAAGCATGATGAAACGCACGCGCATCGATGAAGTCCAATTTGGCACACGCACCGGCCCAGGACCGGGCGGTGGCGGAGGTGTAGGTGCCAACAGTGGCACAACCAGCGTGGGCGTCAATACAGCTGGAGGCGTTACCATCGGCACTGTGGTACCAAATGCACACAGTGCCACAATCAGCGGCATCGGCTCGATACACCATCGCATATTGACGCCGCAGCATGGCGGCGCCCAGACCATTGCCTATTTGCCGTCCACAACGCCGACGGCAACAAATCTTAAAACAACGAGCAGCATTGTCGATAGCGCCAGCACCGGCGCCCAAACAAACGTTACAGGCGTCGGTGGCCCCGGCGCCGGCGGCGTTGTCGTCTCCACGGGCAGCGCGGGCACACAAACCTTGCAGTATACCACATGTAAGTGCAACTGCATATCCCGAATACCAGCTTTTGTGCTCATGACTGTCTTTTTTTTATGTATTTTCCTTGCGCAGCTTATAGCGTAGCCTCAATTCAAGCGGGCGGCACTCTGAAGGCCAGCACAACGGATGGCAACTCGGTGCAAATTCATGTTACTGGCGGTGCTGCAGTTGCCGCATCAGCGGCCGGTGGAGCAGGTGGCGGCGGCGGCTCCCAAACAGTGTCCAGCAGCTGTCAGACGGGCAGCATACGTCAGCGCACGATAAGCGGCACCCAAACGAACGCCACCAGCGGCAGTCTGACAACAACAGCACAGCAGACGCAGCCGGCAGCACTGCTGACAACGCCGCCCAATGGACCGGGCGCAGCTGGTGCTGCAGCTGGGGCAGGCGCTGGCAACAGCACGCCACCGCAGGGACAGTCGGCGGTGGGTGGCGGCGGCAGCGCCGCGCCTCGTCTTAAGGTCGAGGATGCACTCAGCTATCTGGATCAGGTTAAATACCAATATTCCGATCAGCCGCAAATCTACAACAACTTCCTGGACATCATGAAGGAGTTCAAGTCACATTGCATTGACACGCCGGGCGTTATTGAACGCGTCTCCACGCTATTTAAGGGCCACACGGAGCTCATCTATGGCTTCAATATGTTTCTGCCGCCCGGCTATAAGATTGAAATCCATTCCGATGCGCTCGGCTGCTCCGTGCCGGTTGTCTCGATGCCATCGCCACCCGGCGCGCCCAGCAGCACGGGCACGGTGCACATGATTGCAGCCGCTGGCAACAGCCCGTTGGCGAGCAGCGTGAATGCACATACGACGCTCAAGCCGCTGGCACAATCGCAGGGTCCAGGTGGCCCCGGTGGTGCAGCTGCCGCTGCTGCAGCGGCTGTGGCCCAGATACAAACGGCTGGCGCCGTCAATTTGATGACCCACGGTGGCGCCTCGCTCACCCAGACGACCATACACGCATTGCAGCCAACAACTGTTGCTGCTGCTCAATCGCCGGGCGGTCATGTGCACGTCACAAGCAGCTCAGCCCCGGCACCAGGCAGCGTTGGCGTCGGAGTCGGTGTCGGTGTGGGTGTATCGCCTTATGTGCCACAGAATTATTCAAGAGATCGGGCTGAACAGCGTGCAACCATAACGCCAACGGGTCCTGGTCAAGTGGCTGCATCGGTGTCATCAACGGCTGGTTCCAGCATTTCCGTTGGTCCACCAACGCCAAATTCATTAAGTGAGCTAAGTCCACACGCTGGCCCCGCTGCACAGCACAATCTACATCACATCCAGCAGGCGCATCAGTCCATACTGCTCGGCGAGACGACGGGCCAGCAGAATCAGCCGGTGGAATTCAATCACGCCATAACCTATGTGAATAAAATCAAGGTAAGCAGCTAACTAAACACCCTACTTGTATTTATATTAATGCGAGGTATCTTCTGTTTAATCTGCCGCAGAATCGATTCCAAAGCCAGCCGGCCAAATACAAGAAATTCCTGGAAATACTGCACGCCTATCAAAAGGAGCAGAAGGTGATGAAGGAGGGCAGCACCGGCAGCGGCCTCAACCAGGGCAAAATGCTGACCGAACAGGAAGTCTACACGCAGGTGGCCAAGCTCTTTGGCCAGGACGAGGATCTGTTGCGTGAATTTGGACAATTTCTGCCGGATGCCACCAATCATCAGTCCTCTGCTGCCGCTGCCGCAGCTGCACAATACATGTCCAAATCATCGCTGCACAACGACCATCACAACAAGCAGCAGCAGCAGCAGCGCACCACAACGACGGCCACGTTAAGCGGCGGTGCACACATCAGCATGTCGTCGGCCTCGCCGTCGGCGGTGCCCAACAGTGGCTCCCCCTTGCACTTGAGCAGCGGGGCGACGCTCTCCCAGATCGATAGCAGCAGCGCGCATGCGCATGCCGCTGCCATTGGCAATCTGTCGGCGGTCAATACCAGCGTCAGCATCAAGTCCTGCGCCGTGCAACAGAATCACATCATCAGCGGCAGCATCTTCGAGAAGGAGTACCATGGACTGGGACAACAACAGCAGCAGCAGCAGCAGCTGCAGCAACAGCAGCGGCATCAGGGCCTGCCACCGCCGCATCTACTCTCGAGTGGGACACCGCCCAGCGGGCTGCGCGGCAGTGTGGTCGGCGTGGGCGCTGTGCTGGATCAGCGCAATAATCATCATGCGCAAAAGTATGTGGCACAGCATCCGAACATGTCGCAGAAGAAATCGCCCAGCTATGGGGGCATCTCCAATCTGCAGCATCTGCCACATCTGAACGACAATTCGCTGGATCGCAACTCGCCAAACATTGCCAGCTATGTGACACCGCCGCAGCAGCTGCCCGCCCATCCGCATCCGCACCACAATGCGCACAATTCGAGCAGCAGCAGCAGCAGGCGACAAGCGGTCGATGAGCTGGGTGCCGCATCGGTTTCCAGTGGTATCGGTGGCGCCAGTGTCGGCAGCGGACCACCGCCGGCGAAAAGACCAAAGCCCTATTGTCGGGATGTCAGCTTCTCGGAGGCATCGCGCAAGTGCACCATCTCGGATGCGGCCTTCTTTGACAAGGTGCGCAAAGCGCTGCGCAGTCCCGAGGTCTACGACAATTTCTTGCGCTGCCTGACGCTCTTCAATCAGGAGATTGTGTCCAAAACGGAGCTGCTGGGACTTGTCTCGCCGTTTCTGATGAAGTTTCCGGATCTGTTGCGCTGGTTCACCGATTTTCTCGGTCCGCCCATGTCCGGCCAGGTGGGCGGCTCAGCCGGTGGCGCTGGCGGGCTCATCGATGGCCTGCCGCTAGCCGCCACCCAACGTCAGGGCAGCAATAGCAGCTCGCATGAGCGGGCGAGCAGTCACCAGAGCACGGACTATGTCCAAGATGTGGACTTGTCGCTGTGCAAGCGTTTGGGCGCCTCCTATTGCGCCCTGCCGCAGTCCACGGTGCCGAAGAAGTGCAGCGGGCGAACGGCTCTGTGCCGCGAGGTGCTCAACGATAAGTGGGTCTCGTTTCCGACATGGGCCAGCGAGGATTCAACGTTTGTTACGTCGCGCAAGACCCAGTTTGAGGAGACCATCTACAGGTGAGTGTCGGTTTAGTTTCTACTCACTCCCCCTTGCACCCTTGTACCCTTTTCTGTCCTTCACTTTCTGTTTTTCGTTTCTGTTTCTGTTTTCGTGACGGTTTCTGTTTCTGTTCTTTGGCTTTCGTTTATATTTTATGAATTAACCAATCAACAAACGCTCTAAACAAAAGGAATATTCACAGAACGGAGGACGAGCGTTTCGAGCTGGATCTGGTCATCGAGGTGAACAGCGCCACGATACGTGTCCTGGAGAATGTACAAAAGAAAATGTCGCGCATGTCGCCCGAAGAGCTGGCCAAATACCATTTGGATGATCATTTGGGCGGCACGTCCCAAACGATACACCAGCGGGCGATACATCGCATTTACGGCGACAAGTCCGGCGAGATAATCCAAGGCATGAAAAAGAATCCCTCCGTGGCGGTGCCCATTGTCCTTAAGCGGCTCAAGGTCAAGGAGGAGGAGTGGCGGGATGCACAAAAGGTTTGCAACAAGTCTATTTATATAAAATAGCTCAACATTCACTTTATTCTCGTTATTTTGCAGAACTTCAATAAACAGTGGCGCGAACAGAACGAGAAATATTATCTCAAATCGCTGGACCATCAGGCAATCAATTTCAAGCCCAACGACATGAAGGCCCTGCGCTCCAAGAGTCTCTTCAATGAGATCGAGACGCTCTACGATGAGCGTCACGACCAGGATGACGATGCCATGGAGGCGACCGGGCCGCACCTGGTGCTGCCATACAAGGATAAAACCATACTGGACGATGCGGCCAATTTGCTGATACATCATGTCAAGCGCCAGACGGGCATCCAGAAGCAGGAGAAGCAGAAAATCAAACAGATCATTCGACAATTTGTGCCTGACCTATTCTTTGCGCCCCGACAGCCGCTCAGCGACGATGAACGCGATGACGGTAAGCTGCAAAAACTAGATTCCTTTCCCTAAACTAGAAACATTCAGACAAATAACACATTTATTTAATTATTATATTAGTTTTTTCGTATGCACATAATAGAGCTTTGCATGATATTCACACAACAATTAGTCATTATTATTTTTATTATCATATCTTAGACTTCTTCAATATTTTCACAAAACGCACTTAAAAAGTTTTGCATACGCAATAATTTATGAATTTAGTCAAACTCTCAAAGTGCACCCAACTTAACTTCTTATTAAACTGTGGCAACCCTACAATTCTGTTATTTGTTTTTGCACATTTAAATCATTGATTTAGTTCGTTTGTATAAATTGTTAAATATACTTTTATATGTATATTATTATTATATCATCTTTTAACTTTTTCGCTAAATTTGTTTCGAATTTAACAGAAAAATGTCTTTAGAGCGTTGCCACCTTGTTAGTATTTTAGTTAATTTTGAAAATTAGTAAATACTTAAAAGGTTTTTAAATACTCCAAATTATTGATTTAAATCTTTCAGAAAAATGTTATCAATTTAATTAAATTAATGAATTGGCAAGGCGAAGCCAACTTAATAATGTAATAAATGAATTAGAAAGCTTAAAATTAGATAGGTCTGGCAATATTAAACATTTTAAATTAATATAAATTATTTTTCAAAATATAAATAATTGCAATTTGTAGAATTCATGACACACACATATGCACAAGCGTTAGATATTTATTTTATTTTACACCAAATTTGTATTTATTTATTTAAACAATATTTATTTTTTTGCTACTAACAATATTTTATATATTCAATAGATAAATATTAAATATATCTAACCCAACATTTAAAACATAATTAATGTATGTATTTATTTAAAAAAAAAATCGAAACAAAAAGCCCAATTGTTAATTTCAAGTATTTTAACTTAGTGAATGTTTTTCGTTTTCTTTTTCTTTTTTTCTTCTATTTGCAAAACAAAAAAAAAACGTAAATTTGAACTGATAAATTGGCAAATCATTTACCGTTCGTTCACAAAAACAAATTTGCATAAATAATTTGTAACTTAATCAAATGTAATTTGAAATGCATAATTTTGTTGACTAACAACCGCCCAACAACAAACTGGGCGTCCAAAACGAACATCACCGACCCAACGTATACACTACGATCACCACACACACACCACACAAAACAATCTTTGCTGTTGTTCTTGTTGTTGTCGTTGTTGTTGTTGCACGCCTTTCTCTATAGCCTTTCCATTTTTGGTAGATGACACTAAAATGGAAGTCGACTCGCCAGTGAGTCGTGCCCCCAAAGGTGGCATCGTTGGCGGGGGCATCGGCGGTGGCGGCGGCGGCACGCTCAGCGAGAGCGCCTCGCCGGCGCGCAGCAATGCGAGCAGCAGCAGCAGCATCGGCGGCGGCGTTGCCAGCGCCAGTATAGCACCTGTAACGACGGCCATTAAAAAGGAACCCGAGGATACAACCAGCAAAATGCTGCCAGCGACAACAACAGCAACAGCTGCTGCTGCTGCTGCAACAGCTGACGATGCAACGCCGTCCACCTCATCAGCCGCCGCAGCTGCGGCAGTAGCAGCAGCAACAACAACAACAGCTGATGCCAAGGATAAGCCTGATCCAGATGCGACGCATCGAACAACAGTCGCCGAGGAAGCTTCGAAAACACCCGCAACGGCAGCGAGTAGTCCCAGGCGGAGCGAAGAGGCTGCAGCAACGACGTCAGCAGCAGCCGCAGCCATCGCATCCATCGGCGGCAGCGATGTGAATGTCAAGCAGGAGCAGAGCGGAGACTGTGCGAATCCCTCGCTGCTGCCAGCGCATGCGCAGGGTCAGCGTGAGGTAAGTGCAACTGTTGGAAACTCCACTGAAGGTTTACTAATGCCAGATTCACTTGCTCCCTCAACTTTAGGATGAATCCTATTCGCTGTTCTTTGCCAACAACAATTGGTACCTGTTCCTGCGCCTGCATGCCATCCTCTGTGATCGCCTGCACGTCATGTACGAGCGGGCGCGTCTCCTGGCCATCGAGGAGGAGCGGTGTCGCGTGAATCGGCGCGAGAGCACGGCGACGGCATTGCGCTTGAAGCCCAAACCGGATGTGCAGGTGGAGGACTATTATCCCACGTTTCTCGATATGCTGAAGAATGTGCTGGACGGCAACATGGATTCGAATACCTTTGAGGACACCATGCGCGAAATGTTTGGCATCTATGCCTACATATCCTTTACGCTGGATAAGGTAAGCCCAAATGACGATGAATCCATAAGCGGACTGTCTAATCTCATGCTTCCCAATTGCCACCAGGTTGTTTCCAATGCCGTGCGACAGCTGCAGAACTGTGTCACGGAGCGCGCCGCCTTGGACTGCGTGGAGCTGTATGCCAGCGAGCAGAGACGCAGCAGCACCGGCGGCTACTGTCGCGACGCCCACAAGAGCTACGAGCGCGAGCTGGGCTACCAGCGCAAGGCGGAGAGCATCCTCAACGAGGAGAACTGCTTCAAAGTGTACATTGTATGTCTGGCAGTAACTAATTGATTGTGATTATACCCGAATCCGAATACCCTAACAATATCTTTTCGCAATTACAGTACAAGATCGATTGTCGCGTGACCATTGAATTGCTCGACTCGGAGCCGGAGGAGGTCGAGAAGCCGGCCGCATTGAAAGCGCAAAAGTTTAGCAAATATGTGGAACGCTTGGCGAATCCAGCGATGGGCGCCGGAGGCGGCAGCGGCAGCAGCAGTAGCAGCAATAACAACAGCAGCAACAACAACAACAATAACAACAACAGCAACAATCAGACAGCGTCAGGCAATGACAATCTAGTGGAAACGTCCGACATCAAAACGGAGGAGGAAGAGGAGAACGCTGAGGTGAGTGGAGCCCATTAAAAAATAAGCGTATCTAAGCGTATCGGCTACATAAGCTACAGCAGCAGCTTTGTGTGTGCTTGACGAGTGGTTAACCATGTTGTTTGTGTTGTATTCTCTGTTGTGTTCATTTGTTTGTTTGTTTGTTTTGTTGTTGTTATTAAGTTTAGTTCACAAAATCACTTAAGTTAGTTACGACTTGAATAGATTTTAAATCATAAAGTAACAATAGAAATCTGAAAACTTTTCAACAAATTTCGATAGTTAAAGCTATCTATGTTTATAACAATGGAATAACTGTAGATATACAGCAATAACTAGTCAAAACTGTTTTGCCTTATAAGTTAAAAGTCCAAAATAAGATTTTATTATTTCCATATAAAAAGAGTATTTGCCAGCCAGTTGTCCGTCTCATCAAACCTTTTGAGATATGATGCTTTCGATTATTCCATTCGATATTTCGATTCGATATTTAGATTAGATTGTAATAATAACTTTTCATACATAAAATCCCGTACGGAACATTATTCCAGTTACAGTTAGGTAAATTATTAAGTTGTATTTTATTGTACAAATCCCTATGTAGTTATTTATTTGTACAAATCAAGGCCATCGATACCGTGGTCTCTCTCAACAAAAAGTTGAATTATTATCTATAAAAAAAAAAACGAGTTACGAACCAGACAGTTATTTTATTTTTACTTTTACATATGTACATATACATGCATATCGTATTGCTCTAATGTATTGCGTTTGTATATATATATTTGTGTTTCTCTCTTACTTCATCCACTTGTCCTCACAGTTCACAAAACTGTTGACAGTTATATTTGATATTTTTTTTTTTAGATTTTGATTTTGCGGGCCCTCTTGCGCTTTACGCACATTTTCTACTTTTCTACAACTTTCATTTTATCGTTCTCTTTTCTTTCCGTTTCGTCTCTCATTTCAACATGCCGCCTACCAATCGCCCACATATCCGTATGCGAACCAAACTTAAAAAAAAAAAAAACGAAAAAAAAAGAAAAATGTTCACTAATTAATGCTTTTTTCTGCATTTTTTCTCTCATTTTTTCCACTTTATTTTTTGTACCAGGTCAATTCCAAGGCTTGAAATAACAAAATAGTTTTGATAATTTCATTGAATAAGAAGAAGAAAAAGTCGTATTGCAAAATGAAATAGTAATAAATGAATTTGTTTTTTGAGATTAACCAACCAAAAACCGCAACAACAAAAACAACGAAAACAGTTCTCATCCAGCTACCCCCCCACCATCTGCACCATATATACATATACACGCATAGACAAATGCATACACACATTCACACCCATCCATCCAATCACATACATACATAGAACATTTGAGTGTAAAAAGTCGAATACCATAATTTATACATAAACATACATATGTAAATTTTAGTACATACCCAAAATGAACACATAAGTTAAATGCATATATTAATATGTTAACTAGTAGTTTCCAAATAATATTCATAGGCACGCATTTATTGCAACTTATTTCTTATTTCGATTATGTTTTTCGTTCGTTCGTCTTCAAAGGAACAACTACAGATTGTCTTAAGACAATGCCCAGCACAGTAAAAGCCAAGAGCAGAGATATGTAGTTGAATGTGAAGAGAGGGCCAGAGAGAGAGCGAGAAATTAGAGTAATGGGTGGACAGTGTATGCGTGCGTGTGTTTGTGTGTGACGAATTGCAAATGGTGATCGATTGCTACATATCGATATGTTATCGAAAACGAAGTTAAAAGCAAAAACAACTGTAAATAATGTTTGTATGTATGTAGTATTATCGTCTAGTTTAAGTGTTCAGCGTAGCAAATTTTTGTAAAGAGAGGACAGAGAGAGCGAGAGTGAGAGATTACTTTAAAATGCAGCCTGCTCTTACAGCAGGCAGCCCGTAGGCGTGTTATATGTATATACATATAACATACACCCACACATATATATATATTTAACATTTTTTATAACTCCACTACAAAATTACAAAGCATAAATATATATAACTGAGCATTTGATGATGTATAAACGTTGTTTAGGTTCTTTAAATTGGGTTTCTCTCGTTTGTTTTTGCATTTGTTTGTTGTTTTTGGGTTTTCCTTTTGGGCTTAGTGCAGCTGCTGTGTGGCACACACACACACACAATGTGTGTGTGTACATATAGTATACGCTTTTAAGTTTTACGCAAAGGTAAGTTATGCCTGACATCGTTATGCATAAAAATTCATTTAAAATTATGTAGCTAAACATATTTGTATGAAAGGCGATTCGCTTTTTAAATCTGTGATTATTTTCATTCTATTATGTTAATGAATGTGATTGTTTGTGTGTGTGCGTGTGTGTCTGTGTCTGTCTCTGTGTCTGTGTGCGTGTCCAGTCTTGGCCTGGTACCTAGCCACAATTTGTGTCTCTTTGGTTCTTCTTCTAGCTTAACTTGTAGTGTATATTATTGTTTGTTGACTCATTTTCCACAACCACACACTCAAACACACCCACACACTCACACAAACGCATACCCTAGGCTTAAGTACCTTAACTTCTTTTACTTGTCAATTTGTGTTTTTTTGTGAAAGCATGTTCAAATTGCATTTACAATTTGTTTAAGTTTCGTGCCATAAACAATATGTACTAAATGCCTTTTTCTTTTTTATTTTATTCCCCCTCTCACTCTTGCAGCTGGTGCGCGGCGCTCGCAAAGCTCGTTTTCTGCTGCGCAACAAGCGGCGCTCGCAGCTGCACGAGGAGCAAGTGCGTCAGCTGTTTGAACAGAAGCGCAGCTGCAGCGGCATCGGCATCGAGGCGCATGCTGCTGCGACCGAGACGCCGCCAAATGCCAACAGCAGCAGCAACAACAACAGCAACAACAACAGCAATATTAACAACAACAACAACAGTTGGAGCAAACGCGCACCTGAACGCTTGGGCGCCTCACAGGTGGGCCTGGCGGAGCAGTATGCGTTCAATGACCGTGACGAGATAAGCACAAATGCCAGCAACGGGCGCTGCTTTGTGACCAGCAAGAATCTCAATCTACTCAAATACGATGCAGTGCGTCGTGCCAAGAAGGTGAGCCAGCCAGCCCCCCCACACACACACAATTAACCAATAAACCCTTCGATTGCAATACTAAACTCCTCACCCACCCCCTCTCCACCCGCAGAGTCATTGCCGCGTTACACAGGCCAAGTACACACGCTTCCAGAGCTACGTCAACAGATGGCTGCAGCAGCACGTCAGCGAGCAACTGCAGCAGCACTGCAGCGACTGGCTGCTGGGCAAGACGCCGGAGCAGATCAATGCCAGCGGCTGGGGCGCCACCAGCAGAACGAAATCGCTGCAGCAGAAGGATACGTCCAAGACGCCGTATCGCGTCTACACGCGCTACAAGGTGCTGCAGTCGGGCAGCAACAACAGCGGCGCCGCCGCAGCAACTGTTGCCGGTGCAACACCAACAGCAGGCGCAACGCCAGCAGCAGCAGCTGCTACCACAGCAAATTCTAATGCAGCAACAGTTTCCGCTGCCGTTGCAGCAGCCGCAGCTGTTACGTCCAGTGCGCACATAACTGTCAACAATGCCGCCAGCAGCAACGTCAACAGCAGCAGCGTCAGCAGCAGCAACAGCAGCAGCATGATGAACGCCGACACAACAACAGCAGTAACAACTGCAACAGCAACTGCAACTGCAACTGCAGCAGCTGCTGCTGCAACAGCGCAGCAACATTGCAACAGCGCCGCAGCAGCAGCTGCTGCTGCCACAGCGGGCAGTGCGGAGGCTGCACTGCAGCAGGTGCGGCCCATGGAAAGCTAACCGGCAGTTGCTGCAGCCGTTGCAATAGCCAGCTGGTCGAACGCTGCGTTCATGTGAAGCAGCAGCCACTCCTCATGAGCTTCACTGTATACAATAAAAATAAAATAAATTCAAATTTGTGATAGCAGTTCCTGGACGCAGTTGCAGACGACCGGCAAATGGCTATTAGATTAGATTGCAATTCGATAAATGGCAACAACAACAACAACAACAGCAACATAAATCGAGCTCTTTTTCACTTTGTACAAAAGTCATTTAAATTGTAGACGTAGTATTGCTCCTAATAATAATAATTATAAATATTATAAGCATACTACAACATCTTGAGTAGCGTTTAGTGTTTAGTTTTATGATAATGGCAGCGTTTCTAGTTGATAAGCGATTCACACACACACACACACACACACACACACATATATACCCTACAAGTTGTTGCAGTCGCTCCTCTAAAAATAAAACAAACAATTTTTTAAACTGAAAACTTTTGTGGGGCAGTGTAGTTCGTTCGTGCTAATTAAGTTGATATCGACGTCTGTTTAGCTTTTAAGGAATTTTATGAACACACAGAACTTTTAATTTTACATCAAATTTAACGTATTTTTATACAAAAAAAAAACAAACCTTGTACAATTCCTTGTGAATACTATTGATTACACGCCTATTTTATAAGCCTAATTTAAGTTGTAAAAATCATATGAGCTAATTAAAAAAACAAAAACAAAATATATCAAAAATGAAACATTAAATTTAGAAAATTGTCCTGAATTGGGTGGCAATTGAATGAAAAGTTATTTACTAAAAATGGGAGAGAGCATGGATTCTCTGAAGACCGAAGATCATTATTATCTTTGTAATTGTAGGAGCTTGTTATTTCGATAGTGAAAAGTTCACATACACGCGCTTGATAATTTAATAACTATCGGTTAGTGAGAGGGAGACACACTTTTCAATATGCACATCACTAGCAAAACAACGGTTAAAGTTGGAGCAGAAGAAATGAGGAGGAATAAAATGAAAGTAAGATTAAAGCACAAAAGTGAATTACAGTGTTTTAGCAGCGATGTAATTGTTAATATAATATAAAAAATAATGTAAGTCTTATTAAATTCACTAAATCTCAAATTACTGCAAAAACTCAAATTATAATTTTTTATTGCAGTGCAGCTGGAATAGAACTTGGTCTGCTTGCGGTAAGCGAACATACATATGTACATACATTCTTATTGCTCGCTCACTGGAATATAGTACATACATACAGATGTAAATATATGGATGCGTCCATGCATAAGCGAATACACACATACAAATGAATGCATGCGTGCATACATATTTAAATGCGTACTTACATACATATGTATCTGCTTGCCAACATAAAAGCATACATGTGTGTATGTATGCTTGTATTTATGTATGTTTCTATCTACATCTAAATGTGTAAATGCATGCATATATATGCAAATTCAAATATGCTCAAATATGTAAATGCACACATACATATGTATATGCATTTATACATATACATATGTCCCATGATAAGAGCACATATGAATGTACAAATATGTAAATTCACACACACATGTATATGCATGCTTACACATGGAAACATTTAAATGTACACACACATATAAGAAAGCATAAATAGGTAAATGCACTCAAACACGCATTACCAACATAAAAGCATTCCTGTATGTACGTTTTTATGTATATATGCATTTACATATTTGTGCATGCATCATGCATGTATAAATATGTTTATATGTAAATACATACATAAATACATGCACGCATACATACATGCACACATACATATATACGTGCATACATTTATGCATGCATACAAGCCTGCATACATACATACATACATACATGCATACATGCATACACTCACGCACAAGCCTATTAATTACGCTATCGACTATGCGTTTATTATAATTTCTGTAATATATATATTTATTAAGAGTTACAAATATTAAAATAGTTTATATATTTTACACACACAAACATACATAAATTCTTGACAAATTAAAAAACTGAATCACTGAATCACTTATAGAAACAATAAATATAATAATCTTGGGATTATGTCGTGACAATCCGCAGTATTGTAGATATTGTAATAATATCACTTGTATATAAAATCACGGCGCGTTATAATGCCAGCAATGCGATTTTGATTGTTGATAACCAACATATGACGCAGACCGAGGGCTCGAAAGATATTGAAGATCTTGGGCACCGAATCATGCTGTAAGACGCAGAAAGATTGTATTAAATTGAGATTACGCTATATATAACACAATTTCTAACCGTATTGACGCGTACTGGTGAGGGATTCATGAACATGGATAGATCTACGGTATAATTGATTTTTCTGTCCAATGGAAGCACGCTCTAAAGAAGGAATTGGAAATAAATTAGATCAGAAACAGAAAATAGAACAATGCTGCGTACACTAATGGACGGATATCGCGGATAGACATCCCGGAATGTTTGTATCGATGTCTCCGGGATCCAGAAACGTTTGTTTTCCACGTACAGCGATTTGAGCAATATGACAATTAGCTGGGAGCGCAATATGATGCCACAGACGCGTCCCTCGGAACGACGATCCTGCAGAGAACCAAAACAATTGATTAAAGGAAAGATTTAAGGATTTGAGTAAATGGTTACTTACGCCCACCACGTCATCCACCACGGGGAATCCATTGTGATTGCATTTCTGCAGCACTTCATAGATATACTGGGCGCTGTCCACCAGCTTAATGCTGACCACCGGCTTGCTCAGAATTTCGTTGGCGGTTAGGCCTTTATACTGTGGCAGTGGCTCCCAGGACAGCATGGGCACATTATTGACCTCGATGACGGTGTCATAGATGCCATCGTTGAAGTAGTCGCCCACCCATTTGGCAGTGATCAGCGCTATGATCAGCGGAAAGAAGAAGGACGTCTCGATACCCGTCGTCTCCATCAGAATGACCGACAGGCTGATAGTCATGCGCAGGACACCGCCCAAATTGGCAGCGGCGCCAATGAGTGCGTATTTGCCCGGATGCAGAAAGAGCTGTCGATGGGCAGGCAGAGAATTAAGATGAAATACGAAGAATGGCAGGCATAACCTACTGCATTGGGAAACAAATAGAAGATCAGCATTGCCACCAGGCGACCCCAGGCAGCGCCCACCAGCGCGGTGGGTATAAAGACGCCCAGTGAGACGTTGAGCCCAAAGGTGGCGCAGGACAAAAAGTAGTAGACGATCGTGAACACAGCTAGTGTAAGGATTTTATGGGAGCCTGCAAAATAAAACATTCATGAGTCTGATAAAGGTATCAACTGCTGCAGTAACTCACCTGGCGGATCGTGGAAGAGCGCACGCACCGTGGCTTCGGGCGTTTGGAACCAGAGCGCTGCGACCGCATTGTATTCGTTGTCCTCGCAAAACAGCTGCACGGGATGTATGGTTGGATCGTTGCCCAGGGGACGACAATCATCGATGAAATAGATCATGGTGCAGGCCAATGTGACGCCCATTATGGCAACCAGTACTGCCTCGCACACCTTGCCCACCTTCCAGGGCACATAACGCTTGCGAAACTTGTTGATACGCGTATTCAGGGAGTTCCAAGCGGCGCCCAGCAGACCGCCCGACACGCCCAGCAGCATGAACAGCGGCAGCTCAAAGTATTCAAAGGTCAGCGGCTGATCGAATTTGCCCAAATTGAAGAGACCCGTAAATGTGAAATCGTGCAGGCCATGATAGGCAGATAGCACAATATTCAGCGTAAACGAACTGATGATGGACGCAATTAGGGTGCGCCAAATGAGATTCTGATTCCAGAAGCTGGCGGCCTCCTCCAGTGAGAAGAGCATGCCGCCGATGGGCGCACCGAACGCAGCTGAGACACCAGCCGCTGCGCCGCCCAAGACAAAGTCGCGTTTCTCGTGATCATCGCGAAAGGCTTTAAAGATGCGGAAGTCCTTGACAAACGTTGTGCTCTTGCCCTGCGATATGCCCGCTGCGACAACGGCGCCAGCATGTATCATGGGCCCCTCCTTGCCGCCAGCCAAGCCGCCCACCACGGACGTGATGACACCGACGGACTTCACGGCCAGCGTCTTGATGCGCACAATGCGCGGCACCTTGACGCCATTCAGATAGCTCTTCACCTGGGGTATGCCGCTGCCTGCGGTCATGGGCTCTATGTAGGTTACCATGCTGGCGCCAATGGCCACCGGCACAATGCTGAACAGCAGCCACCATAAAAAGGGCAGCACCAGATCTCCCCTGCTCTCGTTAACAGGCACATTGTGGTCCACAGCTGTGGGAGAGAGTTTCATAATGCTTTCGTGACCATAAGGAGCTTTACCTACATGATTTGAGAAAATTATACTTCAATTCCGAGAGCTCCTCGATGACTATGTCGATGGTGCAGGCTATCAGGGCAGTAACAATGCCTATGAGTATGAATATGATCCAGCGTGTCACATGGATGCGCAGCGAGAAGCGATCCCTAAGCCGGCTGCGCTGCTCGGCCTGAAAAAGCGCATTCTCGCACACATCATAGTCCAGACTCTTGTAAAAAGATTAGATTATTATCAGACGTATATAAACACATATATATGTATATATAATTGATACCTCATATTGCGTTTGTGTTTGCTGTGCAGTTCCAGCTAAAGCGGCTGCTGTGCGCGAGCGTACGTGAAATATGGGCTCAGAATTCGCAGTGATGCTTGCGGTGCCCGCATTGCTGCCGCTGCTGCCCTCCTATAATTATAGTGTACATATGTGTTGGTTAGTTTTGCATGAACCCATTTCAGTTGCGATAATTTCCAGCTGTTGTATGATGATTCATACACTGCCCCAGCATAGTTGCAACAGCATGCTGGAAACGTTTACTCACAAAGACGGGCTCAGGCTCTATGCTCAATAAGGGCGGCACGTCATTATCTATTGTTTGGGTAATCCCCGTTCCAAAAATTTGTTGGCCTGTGGAGGGTTCTTCCGTAGAAGTCGGGTAAGGTAAACTCTTCGGCGCCTTGAGAGTTTTAATTTCATCTTCTTCGCTTGATAGATCGTCCTCAAAACGTAAAAGTTGCTTTTTGTCATCCATGTTAAAAACAATTAAATAACTTTATCACACAAAAAAATACATAATAAAAAGAAACAATTCGCAACTAGTTGTCCACGGGCAAGTGGCATCGATAATTAATCAGAATGCAGCAGAATCGCCGAATGCGCGTGCCTATCGATAACTTTTTACATATACTCGATTATTGTATTTATTGCTCTTTGAGAAAATACCAAAAAATACGTTATTTTAGTAAGTGGCAACAGGTGCCGGGTTTATTGTGTGGATTCAAAGTTGAAATTCGGATGCAAAAACTTAAATTTAGCCATGTCGAATAGAAGGCGTTTGCGCTCGATTTGATTGCGCGCCTGTAGCTCATCCTTAATATCGGCTAATGTGTTGTCAATGCGCATTAAAATCTCACGCGGCGGCCCATTAACAAATGCAGCCAGTTCCTGTGTGCGCGTTATGCCGACTTGTATATTCTGCACGGACTGGGTGAATACGCTCTGTTGCATGTCATCACTTTGCATCGAAGAGGTTCTACTGAGATCTATGGCCTCCGGCTGCTCGACAAGCATTTGCTGCTGTTGCTCCGGCTTGATTAGATTGAAGGGCAACATACGCGGTATGCCGACCATGGCGGGCAAATCAATTGCATTACCATTGACGCCTACAGCCGAATTGGAATCGAATGTGCTTACCATGCCTGGGCTCAGATGCGTTAGCTACAATTGATCATAGTTGATAAAGGTCAAATTTAAATACACATCTGCAATTCACTTACATTGTGCTCATCCTGTCGATGATTATTACTAAAAGTAGCAGCATTATTATTATTGTTGCTGTCGTTGTTATTGCTGTCCTGCTTCGAGGCCGTAACGGATACTTTGTCCGAGCATAGGCTATTATTATCCATCGAAGTGTCGCTTATAGAAATGGACTTGGAAAGAGAGGCGAAAAGAATGCATAAATACACTGAATACATACATACAAACACACATACATAAACATTTCAATGTTCCATTCAAGTCTCTGTTGCAGCAGATACATACATATGTAAATACATACACACATGCGTACATTCGTTGGCAATTTTTTTCGCACACCAATGCATTAGCCTGTATATATGTGTGAAATTATAACGGTGCATAGCATGCCTTAACCTAGTGATCTCGCTCACACTTCACGCCACTTACACAAATGGACAAAGACAACACTTTTTTCGGTTTCTTACTGTTCGTATGGCCGCTGCTTCTTCCTGTTCGTGATGTTCTTGTTTGTGCCTTTGAAATACCGTTTTGATTTTCAGCTCGTGCGTCTCTGTGCTCTTTGGCACTTCCATGGACGAAGCGGCGGCAACTGCAGCTAAAGCTGAAATTGTGACCGACGACGACGTGGATTTCTTGCGACATTTGGCAATGCGTCTGTTTTTCATAATGCGATCCCGTCGTTCCACCAACGCTGCCACTTTCATTTCATGCAGTTTGCCCAGCAAAGATGCATGTCGCCGCTGCCAGGGATTTGCAATTAAAATGTTTTCTTTTTTTTTGCTTTGCTGGATAATTAGCTAATTCGTGTATCTCACGTGCAACAACGGCCTACCTTGATATGCATATGAAAATTTCCTGTGGAGCGCACGCTGCCCCGATAAATTCTATCCGGCGGACAATAACAGCACTTGACGGTCACATTGTCGCCAATCTGGCTTTCGATGCGATACAGCTCACCATTCAGTATGTAGGGTACGTGCTGGCGACGTTCTGGATCAGCCTTCACTTCACCTAGATCTGATTCTTGGTCCTCGTCTAGGTCAGGTTGCTCCACTTTCGGCATTGCATGTAAAAATATTGCATTTAATCTGGCAAAAAACGCGATCCGTCGCCCGCGAACTATCGAATTAAATTGAACTTTTTCTATCCGAGTTCTGTAGGTGAGTGCTAAAAGGGAAATGAAAAATCTCCGAAATTAGATACATACGCACATGCATCTGTGAGTACAAATTGCTGCTAAAGAGGAACTCAGAATAATGTCAGAATTAGAGCAAAGCGCATTATACAAATAGCTTTGACAGGGAATGTCACGACTTGCATTAGCAGTTAATTAAAATTTTACATATGTACATAGCTTTAATTGCTTAACTAACAATAGTCAATTGAAGTTTAATTCGACTGTTAACAACTGACTTTAAAACCAAGTGAATAAGGATTAAGTTACGACTAAATAAGTTAGTTAGTAGTTCAAATACTCAAGCTCTGGCGCTTAGCTGCTCATTAAATAAACATAAACTGAAATGTTATCGATATATTTGTCTATCGGCGTGCTGTAGCCCTGGTTGCCTCATGTTGTTTTTTTGTTTTTAGCCTAAACAACCTGGAGATGACGGAAATAAGCAAACCAAATATATTAATTACCGGTAAGCATTACTTTAATTACTATATTTATGCTACATAAAAAGGAGTTACATTAATTGTAAATGTAATCTCAGGCACGCCCGGCGCCGGCAAATCGTATTTGTGCGAGCGTTTGGCCACACAATTGAAATTCAGCTGGCTGGACTGCTCGAAAATTGCAAAGGAAAATAATTTCATTGAGGAATATGACAAGGAATACGATTGCCCCATACTCGATGAGGATAAGGTATGTACACACTGCATTATGAATGTCGCTGTCATTGTAACACCTTGCCATAGCTTATGGATTATCTGGAGCCGCTGATGGCCAACGGCGGCAACATTGTCGAATACCATGGCTGTGATTTCTTTCCGGAGCGCTGGTTCCAGGCCGTCTTCGTTGTTAAATGCCCCAACGAGACGCTCTACGACAGACTCAAGGAGCGCAACTATAATGAGAAAAAGCTAACATCCAATATACAATGCGAAATATTCGGCACAATATTGGAGGAAGCGCGCGAATCGTATAAAGAGGATATCATTTACGAGTTGAGCGGCGAAACCAAGGCGGATGCCCAAAATAGCCTAAAAACAGTTAAAAATTGGTACAGCATGTGGAAGCGCAAGTAAAAACGTGACAACAAATATCAAGAAACTATTTAACTGGTTGCTGAGGGTGGCATAACTTTAACAGGGAGACCTCTATAGACTATAGAGTAGAAATATTCTTCAACAGCCCAGCTAATATTGCTATATCTGTCTGTATATCAATTTGTTGCTATCTAAACTAATCTCAGTTTTCTTCAAAATCTTTCTGTTGTACATCTATCTAAAAGCTGTTAGCAACTGTCAGTTAAAAACTGAGTATTTGTTTCTCTGTATCTTAAGATATTCTTACGAATCTTATCAATATCTGGTTACTATATCTTTTAGTTCACCCAAAAACTATAGATACAAAATTGGGTTATTTCAAGTATCAAACTCAGACAATAAGAATTTATATAAGCTCTACTAAATAATATAGCTGTTATAGGAACAATCAGCCTAATAATCCATTGCAAATTATATGTAGATATTTAGCCCCACATATGCTATAAGTATGCAGGGGTATTTAATATATATGTATTTAATAGGTGTAATATGCTTAATGTAGTAACACTTAGAGCTAATAGCTTCAACTAAATGCGCGTCATTTTGAAACGCAGCGGACCATCCGGCGCATACATGAAGGTAACCGCGTAGTCCAACGGCGCATGATTGTACTCCAGTCTGTAGTTGCGCAGCAGCTTGGCCAGCAGTATTTGCATTTCCAGATCGGCAAAGCGCCGTCCCAGGCACATGCGTGCACCGTAGCCGTAGGGCAATGAGGCAAACGGATGCAGTTTGCCGGGAGTGCCGCCCTGATGTGCCTTCAACCAGCGCTCGGGCCGGAATGTAGCGGCATCTGTGACATATTCCTCCATGTTGCCGGTAACAATAGTGGGAAAGACGGCCTGCAAGAAGAATTTCAAATAGTTGAAAACAGAAATAACATGGAGCATATAATAAAACGACGCACCTGCACGCCCTTGGGCACCTGGTAGCCGCATATAACGCTGTCCTCCTGCAGCGTGCGTCCATTGCCGATGACGGTGCTGTACATGCGGAAGACCTCCTTGATGAATGCCTTCAAGTGGTGCATTTGGTCCAGCAATGGAATCGTCAGCGGTGTGTTGGCATCAGGCAGCAGACGCTTCAGTTCTTCGTGCACCTTTTGCTGTTCCACGGGTCGCGTGGCCAGTTGATAGAGTATGGAGCACACGGCCATCGAGATCTGGAACAGGGAACACGTCTCAGTTTGCATGCCCGATGGGAATTGGACTAGCACTTACCGTGTCTATGCCAACGAGTATCAAATCCAATGCCATAATTGTGGCTATTTTCTCATCCTTCTCCGACATAATCACCTTCTCCAGCAGCGATGGCTCACCGGCACGCTGACTGGCATCCTGTGTCTTCAAGCGCTCCGTTGCGCTTTGTATGTACTTCATGCACACGCTGCAAGAGTTGAACGGGATTAAAAAATAGCTGCTGAGCTAATGGTTAATGGACTTACCCCACGAAGAAGTTCATGTTCTTCACATAACGCGTCCAGAGGGGCGTGGGAAAGTAACGCCAGTAGGGCGCCTTCAGCTCCAGCGTGGCCACATTGCGCAGTGCGTACTTGGCTGCATCGATGATCTGCTGCGGTTCCGAGTCGGGCGTCAGATTGTGCTCCAGGCAGCCCAGACGTGTGTCCAGCGCCACGTGACCAATGCCTGCAGTAGGAGCAATCTTTGGGATCATCCAAAATGCTTATACTAGTATATATGCTACTCACACTCCAAGGACCATTTGTGTATTTCATTATCGAAATCGGCGGGCAGCTCCTCGTTGGCATCCAGCAGCTGCTCACAGCGTGCCAGGAAATCCTCGGTAATCAGCTCCAGCGGCTGCAGATAGCGTCTTATGGTGGACAGCTGCAGCACCGGCTTCTGGACGCGCGAACGGAACTGACGCCACGGCTCGCCATGCCTGTAACAAGGTGAGTCCATGGATTAATTATGCATACATATATATGTACGTTCGTCTAGACTTACACGCCGACGACGCCGCCAAGTTCGCCAAAGAAATCCTTGCGCACCACGCTCTTGTACTTGACCAGACTGGGCATCGATGGCCGGAAGGGGGTCGTTCCCTCGCTGCGATAGCACTGCAATCAGATACTCTTTATTCTCAGTACTTGTTAAGACATTGAAAATTCTTTTGCGGCAATTTGCGACTTGTGCGTCAGAAATTGCGCTGTACTTGAGCGTGCCGCTTTGTTGCCTCGGCTGTGGTCAGTCGAGCGTGGCTCCAAGTGGAGTTAACGCGGTGTTCCGGTGTTCGACTTGTCTCCTTACCTTTTCTATTTCGTCAGCATCGTAGATGAAGAGCAGATCGGGCCTGCCTATAAGGCCAGAGAAGCGCACAATACGGCCGTATCTGTCGTGCAGCAGCGACGAGATTTTGGCCACATCCGATATGGTATATTGGCCAATGATTGGCATGAGTCTGTCAAGGTGAATAGAAACTAATTTGAATGACAAACTGACATTGCCTAATTTTAATTTGGCTATTTGCAGAGCAATCGGGGAACCTTGCGACGACTTGCATATCTTTTATTTTTTATAAAATTGTATATTTAAGAGGAATAATTGTCCAAATTGCGAGTGTAAGATTTAACTATTTGCAATGACAACTTTTTTTGCATGGCCGTAAAAAGTTGTCATTCAGCTGTCTAGCTTGAAAAAAAGAAGAGAATTATGTGAAGATCGTGCTAAGTGTTTCGTGGAGTAAATGCTACCATAAATTATTCGATCTTATGTAGTGTTCAGATAAGAATAATAATATATTACTGTGTGATGGGACTGCTAGACACTCTACTGTCGAATTGAAAAAATTAGCTTAATTAATTAATTATACTCTGTACAAAATGCATTGCAGTTGAGCAAATAAGCAGGTTGTGCGTGTCGCTACTTCAAGGACCTTTCGGATTTATCACAAGCAGATTATTGGCTTTAGGATTGCAAGCAATTTGTCCATATGCCGCAGCTTTAACTGGTTGGGAATTGCACGCATCAGGTAACGAGACAAACAACGCGAACAGAGTTCATTTTCTGTGTGTATTTTACCCTGTGTTTGTTAGTTAATATTTATATTAAAAATTACTAACACGACCTCGCGCCAGCGAAATACTAGCATAAGTTTAGATTAGGCAGGCAGCCAACATGGAGGTTGAATTCTTCTAAAAACTTACGTATAAACCAGCAGTAGTTAATTAAATTGTGGGAAAGAGTATTCAGAAGGCGGTAATAATACTTGCGCCGAATATACGAACGAACCATATTTTAATACAATTTAAAGGCAGACAATCAAGCTCCAAATATTATTGTTGGATTGAATTTGAACAGAACAAAGATGTAAGTTTAATAGAAAAACTGTCAAAATTAGCTTAACCCAAAGGTTATCGATAAACTCTAGATAAATTATCGATTCGTATGTACTGTTATTGTAACAGGTGTCAAGTTTAAAATGCAATTATCGATTACTTAACGCTTCTTTAAAAGACAAGTGCAGTTTTTTTTGCCAATGTACACGCACACACAGACAGACAGACACACACACACACGCACCCACAATGCGCATTCGCACATGTATTTAAATAAATAGCTCTCAGGTAACTATTGTTTGCTTATCATTTTCAGGCTGCATCGAAAAGTTCACACATTTTGGCGACCTTGAAACTGGCGCTAATTGAACGCTAACCAAGAAGAAGCCGACGTCGGATGACTGGGCAAGTGCCCAAACCAAATGGGAAGCTAACCAGATGCGATGCCCTGTTATACCACCAACAGCGATTGGTAAGTAGCTGTAAATTGAAAAAGAAAAAAAAATCGACAAGAATTCGCAAAGCGTTTTGTGTGGCATAATTTGGGCGCAGCATTCATGTAGTGGCGGAGGGGGGAGGGGAAACCCGTTTGGTCATGGTCAGTGAAATGATGAATGCTTTTACAAGCAAAAATCAACACTCGAATGAGATGATCATCAAGTGGCCACACACACATACACACACACACACAAACGCACACATACACACGCGTACACATTCCATTCATCAGTAATTGGGTCAAGAGAAGCGAGCGAAATAAAAGAAAACATAACTGCAAACTCTCTCTTCGCTCTTATTTGCTCTCTCTTTGTCTCTTATTAAAATGCATTGCATTAATCGCATTGCAGGGCATGAAAAGTGAAAGCAAGTTTGTCGCCTAAGTCATTTGCTTGTTGGTTTTTTCCACCCCCCTTTTCTGCCTTTCCTTTTGGTCTTCTTTTTATTTCAACTGCATACACACCGCCAAGTATTGCCAAGTATGGGCAGGGGCTTTGGTCCTGGTATCTCGTTGTAGGCCAATGCATTTTGCCACTCGGCCGTGCCATGTATGCGTGGCACCGCTGGCTCCTGCTCCAGGCCCAAATGTGGACAAACTGCTGCAGTTCCTGCCGCTGCTGCTGCTGCTGCTTCTGTCGCGGCCGTTGCCGAGTTGTCGCGCTGCTGCTGGCCATCCAGGCGACGCTGTCGCTGCTCGCTCTGCAACAGCTGCGCCTGAGCGCCAGCGATCTTGGATACAGTGCGTCGGAATGCAGGCGCGGCACAGCCTGTGCCTTTGGCACGCCAAGCGCATTTCGGCAGTTGATTCATGGCGTACGTGCTATTTAAAGCTTTGACGAATCCAAATTCAAATTCAAATCAGATTTCACTCGTTTGTCGTTGATTTCAAATTGCTTAATGTCTTCTTTGTCGTCGACACACACACGAAACTATTAAAAGCTGCACATGGGCTGGGTAAGAATAACAAGAATCACTTTGCGTTTGGACACACACGCACTAACACACACACACACACACAAATGCCAACTGCCGTTTATCGCTGCGCACTCGACGGCTGCCAGATGTAAACTGGTTAAAAGCTAAGCTCAACGGGCTTGGGCATCCGTCTTGGCTGCGCTCTCGGCAACGGGCCAGACAAAGGGGTGGCCAACGGGGCGGGCAACGGGGCGAGCAACGGGGCGGGTCGCGTCAGCTGCTTTCTAATGAGTGTTGCTGTTGACGCGCGCAAGTGTCGGCAACATTATCGCCTCGTCCATGTTTCAGCAACATTTCGGAAGCTGCCATATAAACATTTATGTTTATATACATGCTTTTTGCTAGTCACAATATTAGCACATGCTATTGGTTATTCCCAAATTCTAATTGGAACTAACAAATGCGGCCTTGACTGACATCAGTCTGTAGAATAGTCTATATTATTTGTAAATATTATCAAGGCTAAACACCTATTAAAACTTTGAAGCAGCTCTTCCTTATCTTGGCAAATTATACTAAATATCACACTAAATATATCACCTTCACCATCTTTTAAGCGTAAATCTTACACATGTTAACTTCTTTTTTGCTTAAAAAGGTTCGCAATAATCAATTTATTTATTAGATAATTAACAGCTTTTTTTTGCAGAAGGTTTATGAGATGGAGGTTTTGCTGTTCTCCCTGAAAGTCTGTCAGCGATTAATTTGTTGACTTACACTAGAATCATAATTAATTATACTGCGAGAAAAATAATGTACACAAATGCTGAAACGCTTCGACAATTTTAAGAGAAACTCTAATATTGTAAGGAGATGGCTCTTTACTTAGCGGAATTTCCCACATTCATTTTCTTAAAAAGGTTCGCAATAATCAATTAATTTAATATATAATCAACAGTTTTTTTTTTTGCAGCAGCAGCAGCTATATAATATGAAGGTTTATCAGAGATTGATTTGCTGACTTACACCAGAATCCTAATTAATTATATATCTTAATTATATATACAAAAGAATGTACAAAAATGCTGGAAAACTTTGACATGGCTAAAAGATGAGAACGGAAGAAAAAAATTCCAACATGTTTATGGAATCATGTCTACGCTTAAAGAACGGAAGAGAAAAATCCCAATATTTTGTATGGAATCATGACTAGGTTTAAAGAACGGAAGAGAATAATCCCAATATTTTGTATGGAATCATGTCTAGGCTTAAGGAGATGGCACTTCCCCCATTCAATGGAAGATCAAGTTGAATAAGAGTAAAACGATGTAAAAAAAGTAACATATGCCAAAAAAATAGTCTGTGCCAAATAGTTTTAAGACGAAAATAGTAATATATCTGTCCCAGACAGACTAAATGATATGTAGCTATATTATAAGTAAATCATATTTAATTTGCTCTAGTTGTGGCAGCTGCTCATTCGGAACCAATGCACCAATGTGCCTATAAAAATCGCGTTTTTAATGGTATTTTAACGGACAAAAAATTTGACAAATTTATTGAATTCATGCCATTTATAATTGTTTTCATGCAATTTTCGAAATTAACGAACCTTAACTTATAATAGCCATACCATATGTATTCTATATAAATATTATTAATGGCTATACCCATCTGTATTCTATTTAAATATGCATTAAGTTGTGCGAGGATATCATTAGTGAGCGAGCTATGAAGCCGGCAACTGTGCGTTTGTTAATCGTGGCGGTGTTTCTGGTGCTGGCACCGGTCATTGGCCGAAAATCGAAATCCCGATTCACAAATCTTAAGTGCGAGTCCTATGATCTCAGTTTTTCGATATTCAAAAAGTGCAAGCTCAATATCCTTGGCAGAGGCGTAGTAGCCGCCGATATAAATCTAAATTTGCTAAAACTTCCGATAAATAATGTACACGTGAGTGTTACTTTGCTTATTTTTGTATACAAATAAAAGTGTATGTCCTAACTGCGTCAAACCGATTGATTCTTATCCGTAAGCATCCCTTTCATCCAAATCGACAGTGTAGCTTACGAGCTATCAAGATATCCTTGCTGATCCCATAATATTTTAATGCAGATCGATGCAGTTGGTCTTTACAAGCCTAAAGCACCATGTCCTTTAAAAATCTGCAAGGACATCGCTGAGTTATGGCTGTTTTCGTTTAATTTTATCAATCACAAAATCGGCCATAAGTCGCTCATTTTAAATACTATCCTGATGTCCTTTGGCCAACAGACAGTCCTTGTCCCAACTACTCAAAATATGCAATGAACATGCCGAAAGTCTTTCAGGGAGCCAAAATAAAAGGATATTTATTTTGCACCTTAAATAGCTTATAACTCGGCCGTATCCTTGCGGATCCTTGCAAGTCCTTTGCCGAAAAATTTGTATTGACCAGGACTACAAACTGGCCAAAGGACATCGGAATCGTCCTTGTAGTTTTCACGTTATGACTACTTTTCTAAAAAGGACATTCTATTTATGGCCATATCTCTGGCAAATCCTTAAGGATATCGGAAGGATATACCTTTTTGAAATCGTAGGAAGCAGTACTATCGATTGGCATTCAAGGATTTCCAGGATTCGACCAAAAATTTCACCTCATTTTTTCCTAGGGGGTTAGTCACAAAAATGGCCCAAAACGCTAAAAACCGGGTCTAACTTCGCCATTTTAAGGACTATCGGGATGTCCTTTGGTCAACAGAATGTCCTTGCTGCCTATATTGAGAATTTACCACTCAAAGGACGAATGTCCTTCAGATAGCTGAGTAAAAAGGACAATTTTGCCAATAAAAAAAGGCTCATAACTCGGCTGTATCCTTGCGTATCCTGACAGGATATGTGTCAAACAAATTGCATTGACCAGGGTTACCAACTGGCCAAAGGACATCAAATTCGTCCTAGTAGTTTTTGAGATATCGAGGATTTTGTGTTTTGGGCCTTTTTCCTTGCAATTCGCGACTGAAATTGCACAAGTCCAGGATTCTTAGATGACCCCATAAAATTTGGATGCAGATCGATGCGGTTGGTCCTAACGAGCCTAACGAACCAGGTCCTTTGAAAATCTGCAAGGATATGGCCGAGCTATAGCTATTTTTCTATAATTTTTTTAAAAACAAAATCGGCTCTTACTTGGCCATTTCAAGGACTATCCTGATGTCCTTTGGTCAGCAGATATTGCTTGTCCTGCCAATTAAGAAAAGGACGAAAATCCTTCAAAGAGCCAAGTTCATAAAATAGTCTATAGCTCAGCCGTATCCTTGCGGATCCTGGCGAGTCCTGTACCAAACAATTTCTATTGACCAGGGCTATCAACTGGCCAAAGGACATCAAAATTGTCCTTGTAGTTACCGAGTTTGTTTTTCGACCATTGGTCACGAGATTTGAACAAAATTTCAGCTGAAATACCAGGCGAACAGAAATCAGCAGCAGGTAGACAAAAATCGGCGGTTGAAAATTTTCATTGCATACGCTGAGGGGCAAATTGGTCTGTTAAATTTAAATGAGCTTTTAAATTATTTCTGTAACGGCCAAACAAAAACGCATGTTATTTTCTTTTACAAATTGACTCATTTATTAAGAATAGCTCTTTTTAAGCATGTTTTTTTCTTCTTTTATACAGATCAACTGGAGCATATGGCGTCGCTATAATACCTACCAACCCTTTCTGCATAATTCCAGCTGTGATTTCTGCCATCTGCTGTCACACCCGAATAAGATCGCATTCGAGTCACTTGTGCTGAAAGCCATTCAGACGAGAGCCAATATAAATCACACTTGCCCCTACAATGTGAGTTGTGTAGAAGGATATGCTAGGATATAGGGAAGTCCTCTTTAAACATATATTTACTATTATTTTTAGCACGATGTCATAGTGGATAATTTGGTGTTCACTGATGCATTCCTGCAAACGCTGCCACTGCCGCAAGGCGATTATAAGATACAATTGCGATTTGCGTCCGACAAAACATGGAGACTAATGGTGGAAGTATTCATCTTGCGAGATGAATAGAACAATTGAATTAAACGAATAAATATGGTATTTGACAATTTTATACAATGTGTTCCATATTTTTGTTTTGCTTTTTACAAAATTTGGTATCAAATAAAATGCATACACAAATTTTTGAAATATATTATTCTGTGCATTTAGCTTTTAAGTTTTGAATTCAATTTGAGATTATTGTGCTTAGCAATATGATAAAAATTTCCGAAAAATTTCGTTCAACTGCCTTACATCAAATAGAAAAAAAAGAAAACAAACACTTTTAGGCATAGAATTTTGAACACATCAAAACGCGATACAAAAGAGTCGGAATTCTTATAGATATCATTACATATGTATATATATGGTATGTATGTATGCATACTCGTATAGTTTAGTTAAATGTGTAAATGCTTTGCTGGCTTTACTAATTCGATTACAGTCTAGAATCTTTTGTCATATTATATACTGGACTTAAGTTAGGCGTAACAAATTAAAAGGGAAATACAAATTACAGAAAATGAAATGGCACGTCTCTAAACGAGTACAGAGTTTCGTAATGTTTTGTGGTATTTTTAGATTTGTTTTGTTTTGATTTAGTTATTAGAATAATGTGTTGTAAGATATACGAGATGAAACATGGCTTAGATGCTTGGATGATGGCTTAAACTACGCGTTCATTGTATGTTTGTATATTTATGTTTAGGTTATATAGTATGTGAATATGTGAATAAATATGCCACTGGCTGTGAGACACAGAGTTCCTTCACACAAATCGCTTTAAAATTAACTAGGCTAACATATATATAGTATATTTGTATATGTATATACGTATATATAATTATATGTATATGGCGTCGTTTGTATTTACAGTTTTAATCGCTCGTGTAACTAAAAGCCTAACTAGAAACTAAAATATGAAATCAAAATGCGAAATGCAAACTAAACATTAACTAAAGAAAAAAAAAACAATTAACATTCCGATATTTGTCGTTGTTTAACCCGGCTAGAAAAAATACTTTTGGCCCGCTTCGGTGTTAACACTCGAACTCGTTGGCCGTGATGGCGCTTAGATCCTTCATGAGGCCCTCCAGATTGGCCATCTCTTGGTTCAGCTCCTCGGTGGATGTGCTGGGCGCCAGTCTTTGTATCTCATCGGTGGAATGCGCCACGGAGCTGCCGCCCTGCAAGCGATTGGGCGTGGCTGCCGAAAAGGAGGGCTTCTTGTAGGGCGATTGATTTTGTGGACGTATTGTGACAGCAGGAGCTGCTAAAATGGAATCGACATTAGCTGCACAGCTGACTACTGACTACTGACTACTGACTACTGCTTGCTGGCTGGCTACTTACTGTGCTTGTTCATGGGCGTGGCAGCGCCAGTGGGCGGCGGGCCCGGCACGCTGAAACTCTTGAGCGGATGTCCGCGCTTGGCGCTCTCAATGGTGGAGACGCAGCCATTGCCAGGAGCGCCCGGATTGCTCGCCGGGCCGCCCGTGTAGCCAGCATTGCTGGAGGATCGAGAAGAAATCAAAGAAGAAGCAGAAGATTAGGAATGAGGGATCAATCAATAATTTGTTGTATTTCTTTTTCCGCTGATCAATTGGGCAAGTGACAAGTCAAGTAAACAGAATGGAACGACATGAAAAACTTGAAACTTGGAACTAGGAGGGCTTCGCGGGCCGGCGGCAATTGTTGCCCAGAAAGTGGAGCACGCGCGCCTGTTGTATCTGCTGGGCCTTGCGGGCCAGCTGTATGTACGGCTGACGATCGGGCATGCTCATGATGCGCCAGGCGTGCGTGGCCACTTCGGTGACCGTCGCCGAGGTGCGCATCGTGTAGACGCCTTTCAGCTGATGATTGATCAAAATCTCGTCCAGCCGAAACTTGTTCAGGAAATTGAGAAACGGCGATGGTGACGCCATCAACAGCAGCTGCTGTTCCACATAACTCGGCAGCGTTCGATGGTCCAGCTGGAGCACACGATCAGCGGGACCCTGCACCAAATCGACCTGAACACTGGGATCGATGCGTCCCCAACGCGTACGATTGCACATCTCTCTTCATATATATGTATTTTTTTTTTACTTCTTTTTGTTGTGGAAAATTCGAATTTCGCTTGGAGTTGGAGTTTCTGTGGCCAAAGGCTCAAAATATGAAACAATTCCGGATTGAATTTTGGTTAAAACGTATCGAAATATGAGACTGAAAATGTCTCGCCTACTGCAGCTCCACAGATGCGGGAAGAAACTACCAGAGATCTCGAAGTAGACCAGAGGGAATGGAAAAGGGAATTGTGGAATATAGAAAGTGGATTGTGGATTGAGCATAAAGCGTCCTTAGGCAAACAAATCAACGAGATAAGGATTTGGGTAGTCCGACTATTTTCTCTTGCAGAGATTAGCTAAAGCTTTCTAGAGGAAGCATGGAACTGTCTTGAATGGAACTGGAACTGCCAGCAAATGAGTCAGGCAAGAGTTGGTTACTCTAGGGTGGAACTAAGGTCTTCCACGAGAGGATCTGCCGAATTGAAGTCAGGGTTACAAAGCCGCATTTACAGGTAAAAGATTGCAGCTTCTTGGGCAGATCCCGATATTCGTTCGCCCACTCACCAGAAGTTGGCGTCGTAGCCACCGTAGGGATGCTCCGGCGTCTGGGCCAGCGAATTGTTCTGCGGCTGTGTGAGGCTCTGCTGCGAGAGGCCCGTGTCCATGGTCATGTGCGAGCGATTCTGGTGATTGTATTGGGTGCGCGGATATTGCGGTCGTTCCATGGTCGAGTTCATCGAGGTGGCTGCTGGTTGGGAAGAATAACGCAGAGAATTAGCTTTTTGCTAACAAGGCTGCACTCTGGACTCGACTCACTCATGTAGCCGGCGACATAGGCGCGCTTGTCCAGCGAGTTGGTGACATGACCCGGCACCGGGGTGTCCACCTCGTATTCGCTGTGCACCACTGAGCGCGGCAGGGTGAGAGCGCCGCTGCTGGAGGCGTTGTCGCTGCAAACGGGCGTAGCACTGTGCAGGCCCTTGTCAATGTTCTTCAGCTCCATCTGGTCGTGATGGATCCAGAGATCCGGTGGCTTCGGCACGCCCACATTGTTCTTCTGATAGCTGATAGAGAGGCGAGTGAAAGCAATTAATAAACATAAGGAGCAGCTGAAAGTATAGTTTGTGCCTACCTCTTCTTGGTGTGCTCTGGCGAGGATTGCGGCTTGCGCCGGCAGAAGAGCAGCAGACCCAGTAGGAGAAGGAACAGCACCAGGATTGTGCTGCCAATAATGATGTACAAGAGATTTTGATTATCGATGCCCTTGGCAATGGTGTCCGCCTCCTGCATAATGACCGCCGCGCTGGTGGTGAACGCCGTCAGCGCGGAGAAGGGCGCATTGTTGCCGCCCTTGGTGGTGCGTGCCTGCACCTTGAAGTAGTAGGTGGTGTAGGGCTTCAGGTTGGGCAGCATCAGCATGGTCTCCTCGCCGGCAAATGCCTCAATGGCCCAGTCGCGATCCCGTTTCGTGGTGTCTGTCGTATAGTAGATATTGTAGCCGGTTATCTGGCCAACGGTGTGCTTTGGCGGCAGCCACTGCACGATCACATTGTGCGGATTCTGTTCGTCCAGGCGCACGGTCAGCTCGCGCGGCGGCGTCACCGGCACATTCTGATAGGTGCTGTTCAGCACCGACATGGACCACGCGGACTCCCGTCGCCCCTTGACCACCTTGACGGCGAACTCGTACTGCGTGCTCGGACGCAGATCGTTGATCATGCAGTTCAGGTCGCTCGTGTTGTGGTAGCGATACCGATTGGAGCCCGTGATGCTGTAGCTGATCGTGTAATGGCGATTGTCGGTCACGTGCTGGTTCTTGTTCAGCATCGTGTCGATCCAGTAGACGACAATCGAGGAGCTCGACATGGTTATGGCGCGCAGCCCGACGGGCACCTCCAGCGGCACGGGCACATCCAGCGGCTCCTCGTCGCGCGTCTTGATGTTGTCATAGATGGGCGGCCCGTCGCCCTTCACATTACGTGCCCGCAGCGACACCACGTACTCCATGTTCGACTCGAGGCTCTTGAGCACATGGTAGCGTTCCGTTTCCTTCAGCTCAATGGTGTTCTCGTCGGGTATGCCGCGTCCCCAGCCCAGCACATAGCTGCGTATCTTGATCTCCGGCTGCTGCGGTGGACCCCAGTGCAGTCCAATATTGTCAGCGCCCGGCTGTATGTTGATCCAGATGGGCTTGCCCGGCACCTGCGTCTCATCCAGATCGTTCTCCAGCGTATTCGCGCGATACCATTCGGTGAATGGGCCCGAGCCGTTCACAGTCATCGCCGCAATCTTCACCTGGTACTCGGCGTTGCGGTCCAGGCCGTTTAGCTCGAAGTAGCGTATGTTGGCGGGCGTGCTCTTCGCCTGGGGCGCATCCTTGAACTTGCGATAGCGTATCTTATAGCCGGTTATCTGGCCATTGCAATCCTCCTCGGCTGGCGGCTCCCAGTGCACAGTTATCGACTGTGTGTGTGTGAAAGGAGGAGATTAATATGGCTTTGATTGGGGATAAGTAAATGTTGATACTCACGCTCGAGCTGGTCACCTCGAGGGTCACATTATTTGGCGGCTCCGAGGGCGTTGAGGAGAAGGTCTTCACCTTCAGCTCGGCGGAGGAATCGCCCATGCCGTTGCGATTGAACGGCACCACGCTGATCACATAGTCCGTATAGGGACGCAGATCGGTGAGCACCAGCTCCAGCGACATGCTGTCATTGTACATATCCGCGCCGCTGTCGTTCTGTGCGGAATGCGGGATTGAGTATATGATAAGAGAGAGAGAGAGAGAGACAGAGACTCACCTCGGAGTAGTAGACACGATACTTGAGTATCTCGCCATTTGTCACCGTCGGCGGCTGCCAATGGACAAAGATCTCCTTGTGGTTGCGCGCGTAGGCATCCACGTTGCGCGGCGGTCCGGCAATGTTCACCTCCGGCTGTGTGCTCGCCTCCAGCGGCTGTGAGGATTCGCCCATGCCGAAATTGGTATTGGCCACGACACGAAACTGATAGGTGCGGCCCGGCAGCAAGGATTGTATGCTAACCTGCTGATCCTCATGCGACTGGGTCACAATCTTTTGCTCGCTGTGAAGAGGAATGGTTGTGACTAACTAATCCTGGCTTGGGCGGGGATTATTTGTCTGGCTTACCGCTCGCTGTTGCTGACGCGATAGTAGACGGTGTAGGAGACGACCTCGTTGGCATTCTGCAGCGGCTCCTGCCAGCTGAGCGTCACGAAGCGCGACTTCACAATCTGCGCGACCAGGTTGCGCGGCGGACCCGGCAGTCGGGCCAGCAGACCGCTGCTCAAAGGCTTCACATCGCTCGAGATTTCCTCGCCGGCGCTTAGATCTGTTGAGGCAAAATTGGATGTGGGGGGCATTTGTTGTTGTTGTTGTTGTTGTAGGGGTTGCGCTTTGTTCTTGTAGGCCAGTATTTCGTCATAGTCAACGTCGTCGTTGTCGTCCTCCTCGTCGTCGTCGTCGTCGTCATTGTCTCCGTTCCGGCGGCGCAGCACACTGATCTCGCCCGCCTCAAAGTTGCGATCGTTGAGCGGCTGCTCGCCGGTTCTCGTAAATTTGCGCAATTGGCGCCGCGTCGCCGTCTCCGCGGACTTCTCGTCCGCATAGTTGTCGTAGTCGTCGCTGTCCATGTCCAAGTAGCTGCTGCCGCCGGATTTGGTGCGCAGCTCACCCGAGTTGTAAGGTCGTCGTCGTTTGTTGTTGTTGTTGTTGTTGTAATTGTAATTGTCGGAACTGTGCAAGGATTTTGTGGTTTGACCTTGGGTTTTGCGTTGTTTCATTTTGGCTTTGGATGGGGATTGGGATTGGTTTTTGGGTTCGGATGGAAATAATGAGTTGGGCAGGGAAAGAAAAACAAATGACAAGTGAATAAACAATAAGTTAATAAATTAATTAATCATAACATAAAAGGAAAACAACTTAATTCGCTTTGAACCTGGTTCACAAGAGGTTGAGTGTCACCCGGTTGGATTTTCAGTTCAAAAATATCAAATACGATCTCAATACGGAGCAAGACAAGCAGAAGGGATTGGAAGCATAGCGCACAGAGTAATATTCAGCTCTAAGTCTGATAAGTCGCATTAGGTATTCCTTAGTAAAGTCTAACTTATTTACTAGCCAGATCAAGAGTATATATCTCTATATATAAAACTGTTTGTCCTGACTGACTGACTGACTGACTGACTGACTGACTGACTGACTGACTGACTGATTGGTGATCAACGCACAGCCCAAACCGTAAGAGCTAGGAAGCTGAAATTTTCACTGTAGCTACCTTATGTGATGTAGGTGCACGTTAAGACGGGGTTTCGGGAAATTCCACCCGCAAGTGTGGAAAAATCGCGAAAAACGTTTGTATGTAACTTTTTTGTTTACCATCGGATTGGCCTCAAACTTATTTTCAAAGATCTTTGTTCAAATTCATTTGAGGGGTGTTTCACACTTTTAGGAAAATCCATTCCTCCTTGGTGGAAATGGAGGTCAAAGATTAGGTGGGTGACGTTTCGCGCTCAAATTCATTTCCAGTGATCTATATGAAAAATCATTTGAGACGTGTTTCTCACTTTTCGCAGAAATCAAACTTCTTCGAGGGGAATGCGATTTAAAGATTTTTTGGGCGGCGTTTTAAGTTGTGTCCGATTTGCTTCAAACTTATTTTTAAAGCTCTTTATAAGAACTTAATAAGTACGTATTTCAGCGATTTGGAAAATTCCACCCGCAACAGTGGTAAATTGGCGGAAAACGGTTGTATGAAAGTTTTTTGTTTACCATCCGATCGGCCCCAAATTCATATTTAAAGATCTATTTTTAAATTCATTAAAGGGGTGTTTCACACTTTTTGAAAAATGCATTCCTCCTTGGTGGAAATAGAGGTCAAATATTTGGTGGGTGACGTTTCGCACTCAAATTCATTTCCAGAGATCTATTAGAAAAATCATTTGATACGTGTTTCACACTTTTCGCAGAATTCAAACTTCTTCGGGGGAATGCGATTTAAAGATTTTTTGGGCGAAGTTTTAAGTTGTGTCCGATTTGCTTCAAACTTATTTTCAAAGCTCTACATAAGAACTTAATAAATACGTATTTCAGCGATTTGGGAAATTCCACCCGCAACAGTGGTAAATTGGCGGAAAACGGTTGTATGAAAGTTTTT